GGGGGGGATGATAACGTTCCTTTCGACTGTAAGGGGACGCTTCGGAAGACACGTTGCTGAACGTTGTTGCTGACGTCTTGCTACCTTGACTGGGTGGGGGGGGGTGGGGGGGGATGATAACGTTCCTTTCTGACGCGTCTGAGGTCGGTTCATGCGCGCACCAACTCATGGTGTCGGTCAGATTTTATTGGATTTTATTTTTTTGTCATGAACTCATGATGTCGGTCAGATTTATTGGATCGTATTTTTTTGTCATGATGGCCATTTTCCGCAGCTCTTTTTTGATGTCCGGTCATCCCGTTACACCTCCGCGGAGGACATTGGCAAGGTTCCAGCGACTGGGTTTCAATGCGTCTTTAACAACATTTATTTTTTTTATCTTAATGATGTCTTGTTTTTGAACATATCATCCTCAGTAGCTTTTTTGGGGAGTTATACATGATCCAAGATGATAAAAGTACATTCTATGATTGTATGATTGTAGAATCTCATTAAAAGGATTTGTAAAATGTTTTTGATGATTCCGAACAGGTCTCCATGGTCAGTGCACTCCAACGCGTTGTCTCTGCAGTTGCATTCACCAGTGGCTGTATCTTCTAGGTGTCTCGTTAGCACTTATGTTTGACTATATATATATATGGCTGGTAAATAAATATATATATATATATATATTACACATATTTCAATATATATGTGTAAAAGGTATTTTTAACTATGTATTCATGTTCAAATGTATATTGATATACATATATATGTAAATAAAAGCAGCTACATGACTACAGCAAAAGTTTTACATGAATAGAGCAAGTTGACAAAAGATTCAGGACCTCTTCTCCTGAAGCTGGTGCAACCTTGGCTACCGTTGCACCTGCTCATGAGACTGCAGAGGAGGCCACGGTCACAGTTGCACTTGCAGTGCCCACGGATCATGTGCCCGCTGCAACGGAAAGCGAGTTAGACGACATGGATCGTGGTTCTCCTGCTGCTACGTTGGCACGAGATTTTGGAGCCATTGCATCTTGAACGCATTGAGAACATTGAATGATTTCGTAGACATCTCGTTCATTTTTGCTTGAATTGCCCTGAAGGATATTCCAGTTATCTGGTGCTGCAAACCTTTGAAAGAACGCTTGCTGCCGATGTTGCACGTGCCTGTCTTTGCCACGAATGATGCTCATGAGAGATTTTGCCGCGCTGTCATTGAACGTGCAGGAATGGTGACTCACGCACAAACCAAGGCAGGCTTGGAACGCAGAGCCTTGGAAGCCATTCAGCGACTTGGATTTCGTGAAGCAGAAACTTTGACAGTGAATGGTGACTTCCAAAGAGCAGATTCGTTTCGGAAAAGCATTCGGGCCAACATGTTGCATCGCGAGAAGATTCGTTTGTGGGGCCCAGTTCGTGCTCGTGAACCTTCGGTGGTGCACACTGTTTCTGTAGACTTGAGCCGCTTTCAACAGATGACTTTGCCGTCCACTTTGTCTTCAGGCCCTTACGAAACTGCTGCGTCTGTCCGAGCACGTGGAGCTTGGCAACCTCCTCCTGAAGTAGCTACAACTGTTCAAGTGCCTGAAAATTATGGGGCTGCAATGGATCACACGGGAGCTCACTATGACAGGTGTCTTCGTGAGATTTTTTCTCTTATGTCCCTTTTTTCCACCCAAAAAAAATGGAGGAAGTTTGAAGGCCGCTATCGTTTATATGGCTTGTTCTCTGAAGTCAATCCTAGGTTTATGGACACGTTGCTGGAGCTATCATTACGTGGGTTTCTTCCTCACCCTTAGATCACGCTTGAGCAGATGCAGGATTCGGCTGGCATGACTTGGGAAGATGTCGATGAAGCTGCTGGCGCGTGGGCTTCTTTCAATTGTGTTGAGATTGCCAATGGTAGCGTTCGATTGCTCGAAGATGAGAAGGACTTTTGAACTGAACACAAATGGAGCTTGACGGCTGGTCTAAAAGGACGCTGCGATTGTATAGTTGAACTTGTGGTGTCATAGTTTTAAGTTACTTGTCTTGCCATCGTGCTAACTTGCCATTTTGCATCATGCCATGTTGCTTCTAAACATGTATCCATCATCGAAGCTGCTTCGGAGCAATGCCCGCTCGTCCGACCAAGCAGCTACATCAATGTAGCCTTTGTGGCCGCAAAGGTCACAATGTTCTTCGGTGCGAAGCTCCCGGTGCTGCTCGCTATAGAAAGCTGTTGGCCATTTACAAAGATGACCAGAGATTGAATTCCAAGCAAACTGGTCGCAAAGGAAAGACTAGACCCAGAAGACAAAAATTTGGTGACAGGAAAAAAAAGGCAAAGGACACATACTCAGGTAAAAGGAAACGCTTGCAAGACGACAAGGTTAGACGTGAGAAGAGAAGAAAGCAGGAGCATCTCAAGGGAGATGAACAGAATGCAGTCAAGGAGCTTCAAAAAATAGGCTTTTTGAAAGCACCGCAAAGATGTCCTTTTTGCAAGGGATACAATCTGTATCAAGCTGACAACAAAGGGAAGACTGTGGAGTATCGTTGCAAATGGGCGTATTGTAGAAAAAGGATCACTGCTTTGAACCATAGCTATGGACTACCTCAAAGTCTTGGACGGGGTCTTTCCGCCACGGGCTTGTTGGTTGCCATTCGTTCCTACTGTGCTGCTACCAAGTGTGTGAGTCCATTGGCCGTTGCTCAGACGATTGGATGCAGTGAGAAACCCATTGCTCGTTTGTACACGTGCCTTCGAGAGATGGAAGCGAAAGCTGGTGCTGAACTCAACTACAGCATGCGGCTTCGGAAGGAGGTCGAGTTGGATGGACACAAAGTCCGCACAGCATGGGTTTCGAAAAAGACTACCAAGTTTCTGCCACAGGTTCGTGCTTTGACTGCAAAACATCCAGCACTTTGCACGCAATGGTAACTGTTTCTTCATCTTTGCTTTTATCTTTACAGTTTGAACTCCTCCTTTTCTCTCAAACAGTCCGAATGGTAACTTTTCCAACCAGGCAAAATGCCAGAAGGCCAAGAATTTCATTCTTCACTATGGTCTACTTGGTGCATTCGAACGTTCGACTTCGAAGTGTTTGCTCGAGGCTATGGAGCCACGCCTTCAACTTCCTGCTTCTAGGCCACCAGTTGAGTCTGCAGATGATGTGAGGCAAAGCTGTTTGTTGGATAGAATACAGGAAAACACCATGTTATACTCGGATGGTGCTTTGGCATGGCCAAAGGTTTCCAAAGAGATGAGAAAAGGTTTTCGTATTAAGCAGGTGAGCCATCGTCGTCAAGAATTTCTCAGAGGTCGAAACATAGGAACTCAGATAGCTGATTCCCGTTGGAAAAGTATGCAGTCATGGATTCCAAAGACTGTGAAGACGTTGTACAGAGGACGCCTCAATAAAAAGCTGATGATCTATGTGAGATCATGGCAATTTAGATTTGCACACCAGCATCAATACATCCAGGCTTTGGGCCAGCTCTTCAAAACGAAGAATGCCGACTGAAAGAGCACTGAAAAAAATGCATTGAACCTCAAGCAGATGTTGCGGAATTCCCAAAGTTTTTTTTTGACATTTTGACATTTTGCAGCAAACCTCAAAACATCATAGATCAAAAGCATAAAATACTGTAAATTACAGTGTAAAATGGTGATTTTTTATTCAATCACCAAGTGCACAATTGTAGAAAACCCACACCCGCCTCAAGGCGGTGATCCCTTGTTTTACCCATTAATAATGGTGGATCTTTCCATAGCTATGTTAAATTGCCAGAGGGTATTCTAACTTATTTCAGGGAAATGCCAGAGGAAACCCTAATTGTCTTTGCCCTCATTGGGAATTCCTGCAGTAATTCCCAAATCAGAAATGATATAAGCCTATTTTGGTGAATGTTCGGGATGATTCCCGTTACAAACCACTACGTATCTACAGTGGGGTCGATGTGAGGTCGCTAGATCAGTGATTAGTCAAAGTTCGTGTGCCAATAGGCCCACAAAACTGGTCTGTGTGTTAGTATTCGATATGTAAATCGAATCAGCCTCCTCGTTTACACTTGTCTTCTGACCTGAGAAACTCCACCAACTCTATTTTTTCCTTTACAAGATCGCACTTTCCAGCCAGCCAGCTTAAGTTGAGGGTTTCTCAATTTTAGATGGTTGAAACATGTTGAAACACTTTGTTTGCTGCTTAAACATGTTTAAACCCCACTGCCTAGCTATCAAGTTTCCATAGAACCACCACATCTGCCTGACGGGCACACGGCCCTCGCAGGACCGCCATGGAACCAAGGCGGGTCCGGAAAATTGTGGGGGGTCCTCTTGAGCCAAGCTGGGAAATTGCACCATTGGGTGATGAATTTCCAGGAAAAGTATCCAGGAAACCATTGGAAAAGAAGGATCACGTCATTGATTTCTAGACATCAACGAAACCAAGATTCTTTATATGCAATCTCGCGTCTGAAAATAAAAAACAGAAGTTGTCATGGTGATTGTCTCCCAAAAGAAACAAGTCTTTGGGTCTCGAAAGCCTTGCAGAGGTCGCTATATAAGGGCCACAGAGCCATGGTGGTATTCTAACCCTCATGAAAAACAGGCTGCCCGTCAATGGGAATCATCGCAGTTAGGATGGTAAAGAAGAAACGATTGAAAACACCAAGATATAATAACCACTTTGGCTACATAATGCTTTATCTCCATTTCATCATAGTTCATCCTTGTAAAACCCCCATTGAATGGCGCATAAACCTCCACCATTTCACTTTTCTGCTGTTTGTTCTTTTTCCATTTCCATGGCGTTGGAGTCACTTCTGGGCTCTTGTTGGCCGCTGTCCCACATGGGCTGTTGCTTCAGCGCGCCGATAGACTAAGTAGAGATGGGTTGGACAGCAAAATTGTCCCTGCGTGCTGACAAAATCAGAAATACGAACAAGATATGCTTCAGTGGCAATGAACACCTTGCAATGACTTAACTTCACAATTCGTTCAATGTCTACTGAGTCTACTGGTCTATTTTTCTGACACCCAGCTGTCTTCTCCACCCCTACTTGTCCCACCACGTCCTCTGTGTACAAGGCCCCATCGCTCATTGTTGTGCCTCCTCGTCTGCGATGGGATTGGCATGGATGATGATGCTCTGGCGCAGGACGGTGCGGTATAGCTTGCATCAAAAGAGGTGGAAATTGCCACAAAAAAAAAGTAGCCAGTGACTCTCCACACTGATGGGTAAAAAGAAGATTTCAATCACCAACAGAATCTTTATTCTTGGCATGTTCAGCATCCCAAAGTTCAACATAAATTTTGACATAATGATAGCAAGAAGCATTGACCAATCTTGGATAGGCTGTCCCATGAGTTTACTTTTTTTGCCAAGAACAATCATTATTTATTGGTAAATTCTTGCCATTACATTGAATTGGTAGATTGTTTGCTGGTTACATCCCAATTCGATGGGCTCGTCCACCGAAACCATCCAGTGATTGCGGTAGCTGACTATGGTTAATCCCCATGTTGTGTATTAATATGAACCCCATGTCATTCTTCAGTATCTGGTAAACATACAAAAAACTCTGGAATCCATCACCCTTCATGGGTAAATCAACCATAGTAACTATGTCGCCATGTTCAATAGCTAAGCTACCAGAGGGTATGTCATTCCACCGGTGTTCTTTCGCTTTTTCAAAACCGGCGCCTCCACCTTGATGGGTCTCATGGGTCGATTCTTCGCGTTGATCGGCTCCTGTTTCGGAAAATAGGGGCTGATCATCACAGGAACCCTGATGAAAACTGACCATATAATAATACGGTATAACCGTACAACATGATATATAATGATATATAATATAGTTATATGATGGTCATTGATATAATTATCAGTAATCATGATAATATTAAAAACTGATCATATAATATAACATGATCAATAATCATATAATTGGGCTAGCCCCAGGCTTTCACGAAGCTGGAATCACACATGTCCTGATTTCATTGAATTGCACTAGTGATGGTTTTTATACAAACATGAAGATTCTCTATATCATTCAAAAATGAGGGGATGGGGAACCAACTGCTGGTGTTAGGTTCTTTGGAGGTTCAAACTCACGTGCCCTGGTTTTCGGACTCCTAAAGTGGGGCAGAGACCATGCTGAGAGGTTCACTAGCCCAATGTGGAAGTGGCTGAGTTTGATCCACACATACCCAAACCATGATACATTCTGATGGAAACAGAACTGGTCAATGTTTCTACAGATTTTGCAGCCTGCCATGGCAATTCTAGTAGGGCACCAGCAAAAAGCGAGCAGTCGCTTGGGTGGGTGGAGATACCAAGCCCCATCTTCCCATCGATCTCTATCCCTCCTTCTCCATCTTGTCCAAGGTGTCCAAACCATCTATCAGCCTCACTGAGATGTATCCGGGATACTACAGGTGCACTGTGTGAAAACCCAGGACGGTTGCATCAAAAAAAACGTCCAATGGCCCCAAAAAAATTCAACCACTGAGTCTCTTGGAGCCTTCAACTGCCAATCCACAATCCTGACCTGCCAAAGGTGGTGTACACACCGTTCAAGTGAGGCTGTCTGGAGTACCTTGTGGCCATGCCACGGTGCTGCCGTGCCAAGGTCACAGATCACAGCTGCGGCAGCCCAGCGGGCTGCGGGGTCACGTGATGAAAAACTGGCTGCCGTTGGTGTTTGGGCCAGTGTTCACCATGGACAAGCAGCCTGCGGCGAAGCAAATCAGAGATGGGGGTAGTGGATGGTAGTGGTAGGTCAAGACCCTGGCAACAATGGCGTTCACATCTTCAAAAATGGAGAAATATGGATGGTATCCTGGGATATTCATGGATATCTCATGAGGTTCGTATCTACTGTACCTATTTTGGGGATGTTGGTGCCCTTTGGTAGCTTGGATGCAAGGTGATCTTGAAGACTCGTGTGCACTATTGTCCGAACTCCCAAGAGATGCATGTTTTGGAGAAATAAAAACACGGTAGCGCCGCCCGTAAAGACGTGGGGACTTTTTGGCTCAGGAGTTTCGGGCCCCTTTGAGAACTTCAGGCACAATGAAAAGTCAACATGGTGGCTAGTGGAAGCGTCAAGTTAAGAGCAGCATCAAGAACTTGTGCACATACATGAACGTTAACATCCCACCCCAGCCACCCCACCCCATGTTCTAACGTAGCCTCAAGTGCATGTGCAGGTGCCACACAAGATCTTGTAGCGTAGTGTCAAGTGCATGTGTGCACATGAACGTTAACTTCCTCCCCACTCCCACCCTTACCCATCCCCAAGAAGACAGAAAAGCGTTAAAAGCCCCGCGTCTTTGTGGGCAGCGTTAGCAAAAACAAGGATGGAATCCCCAAAAATATAGATCCCTTCAAAAATATCCAAAGGCGTTCTCCCCACAATGCCGTCATTAAGCACATACAGAAAAAACGAAACCGAAGCCACACCTCTTCTCTCGTGCTTCAAGGTCGAGACAAACTCGTCCTCCGGTTGAAATGTGGTGCCCCTAGTTCAAGCCCCAGAATGCTGAGGATCCGGACACTCATAAATACAAGTTTTCCTGATAAAATCAACCACCACTATTGAATTGTAGGAGCTTTCCCATATCTCTCACTCCTCCTCAATCCTCCTGCCGTCCACTGGTCGCCCCACGGTGTCCTCAAAGTAACCACCATAGATGCTCTGACCGCCCTTGCCGGTGCCCGTAGGATCACCACCCTGACAGCGGATCTCCCAACATCTGCAGACTTGCCCCATGTTGGAGATGTTTTTGGAAGGGGAATGACAGACCCAAAAAAACACACATGGACCATGGACACTACATTTTGATACATTTTCTGGGGATAGCGCCGACACTGATGAGCCACCCAGGACCCAGCCTGGATCATGAATCCCTTGATGTTTCTGTGGAAGTTGGTGTTGTCGTAATATCCTGGCAAAAAAGGCCACTCCCGCCACCTTTCTGGGCCAGGGCCAGGGCCAGGCCAAGGGCAAAGCCATCTACAGCCCATTGATATTCCATTTAGATCCCATGATATGAATATGGGATACCAAGAGATTGATATCATGGGATTGATATCATGGGATAAAATATTCACATTTTTGTTACCATTCAAATCTACAACCCATTGATATTCCATTTAACTTTCACATTTTCTTGCTGGTGCTTAGTAGGGAATGGATGGGAATGGGGGAATGGGATGATTATTACTAGTGATGATGGGTCATTCCCTCATTCCCTGCTAAGCACCAGTAAGTTTTTGTTACCAAGAAAATAATCCCATGATATTCATATCTCATGTATCATCCCATCTACAAGCCATTTCTATTGAGGCCCCATGGTAGCCACTGTAGCCACCCCCTCAGCCACGAGGCACCCACAAGCGCCACGCCTGACGCCGCGAGGGCCAAGAAGTTCTTACAGGTCTTGGGCGTCTGAGCACAGAACAGCTCCACCTCACCGAAGCAGTTCATGACAGGATCCCCATAGATAAATTATGATGGGTTTATGATCAAGTTACCATAGTTTATAATCTATGGGTTATTTATCATCATAACTATGGGTAACCATGACAGGTTATGATAAATTATGATGATCCTTATGATGATCCTCATGGTCATGAGGCTAATTCGTGCAAGAATATGGAAATAGGTGGTGGTTTTTTTCCAGAGAACCCGGAAGAAGTGCGTCTTTGCGGTTCTTGGGGCCACATCATCTTCAACAAGTCTGAACGCACGGCCTTGAGTGGGCCAAGATTTGTCTTGATGGTCAGCGCCATCCCTGGCTACAAAGCTGCAACCAAAGGTGCGCAAGGCAATCCGGAAAGTCATTGAGTTGGTTAGTTGGTTTAAGGGAAAAAATTGAAGGAAACCATGTTTTTCAAATGAATAGTTCAACTGTTGCTACTTCCTGTATGGTTGACACGGTGAGTTGAAAGCTCTCCATTGACATGTGTCTGTAATCCGGAAGTTTGCTAACTTCCTTTGACGACGCTTCGGATATGTATTCTATATATAATATAATCATATATGATAATGATTATACATTGTATAATATCATAGTCATTCATAGTCTAGTACATAGCTAAATAAATTACATAATGTTGGTAAAACAATGCCATAAACTGCCATGTTTACCATCCACCAAATCAGCATTTTGATAAAGGTGGTATGTTTATCATTCCCAGTCATGGCAGGTTTACCGCCGACCTCGACACTGCCACCGAGCACTGGGCGCAGTGCTCGGTTCTTCCCCACTTCTTTTGAGCCACTGGGCGTTTAACCGGTGGCGCTCGTTTAGACACCATGGTAGCCTGTGTGGTGAGCCATGATTAATAGGAAAATGATGATAAACTAGGGATGCCAGTAATACTATGTAATACTAGGGTGCTTTATTTTCGGATATTTTCGGACAAACCCATATCATCCCATCTTAAATCTTCTCAATACATCTTTAGATTTCAGGCAGAAAACCCGTCGAATTTCCAGCCAGAAATGCTTCGCGAATACGGCAGGTTTTTTCAGCCCTCGCAGCTCACAGGGCGTTCGAGGTCTCTGGAAGCCTGGGCCATGGCCATTTTATGTTAACGTGTCCCCGAACCTGAATGAATGGTCCGAACTGCCACCCAAGGTCCAACACTGAGTGAAAAGTTTAGGCCAAAACCCCCACACATTGCCGAGCCAGTAGCAGCAAAAACATGCAAAAACAAAAATGCTGAGGAACAAACCGTGAACACGACGATGAAGATCACAACAACAAACATAAACTCCCCAGAACCCGTGAACCCCAAATGGGGCACAGCGCCCATTTGTGGCCGCGCTGTGGACCAGGCATCATGAGCATGAGCGTGCACCTGAGCGACTGGTACCTGCAAGACCTGTGTCTGAAAATAGGGTATACCCCCAAGATATAACCATTTCAACGGCAAAAAGAATGAGAATTTTTTGTAGAAGTTTCATGACATTTGGGGTACCCTATTTTCAGACAAATCCGTTTTACTCGGAGATGGGTTGACCTGGAGTCTATTGGGAACGGGCCTCTCGTATGAGACAACGGCCCTCATCGACCCATGGTGAAGAGTCCCTGAAGCGGCTGGTCATCCCTGATCTTGTGGACATACAGACATTTCTCTTGGGTCCCAGTGCTACTTGACCAGTTGCAACCCTAGGAATGATATGTCATTGAGACATGCACCCACATGCAGATATGCAGTTTTTCACGTTGAGTCAGATGTATCATGAGTGGCGGCAACGAAACCATCCGCAAGAATCTCTCAGCCCTGGTCTTCATCCAGCCTGTCATGGCTTGTGATCTGTACACCCAGCTTTTTCAGGGCAATCCTGGAATACCTTGGTTGAAGCTTCACTGCAGCTGCCATGACCAACTGTGGATGGTCCCTGGCCGTCTGAGGACTGGTCCACTGGCCCAAGTACGGTATCCTCATGGGTCAAAACCCTGGTACCCCTTCTGTTCACATCAAGTCATAGCTGGGTTAAAATGGATGTGAATAACCCACTAAAAATGTATCAAAAAAGGTATTGACCCATACCCATATGGCAATGGTTGGGAAAAGGATTTTCTGACACCTGGAGTTAGGGGTACCCTATTTCCAGGCATGTAGATTTGGCTGTTGTGGAGCTGATCCTATGCAAAAAATGGTCCGCGGATGGCTGAAAGGGATTTTCCGGCAGTCTCAAACACGGACGACATTTCCATACATTTCCCCTGTTGGGCCACTGCTTACCTAGCATGTTGCTGCAAATTGCACCCTGTCAGTGACAGGTAGAAGAAACAGGATGAGTTCTTGTTCTCTCTGATTTGGCCCTTAGAGAACCTGCATTTGCTGAGTCGTTCACTGTCTGCTTTGGACGAAGTCTTGCAACTCCCTTAGCGCCTCCTTGGTCCAAAGGAAGCGATTGGCTTTGGCAGTGCACTTTCCTTTTCTGCTTCATCTTGTCTTTTTTAACACCCCGAACTGCTGTTAGTTGTCTTTCAAAAAAACAAACCTAGCAAGGACTCCCGGAATCAAACAGACTTGCCGACTTTCCTGTCGCTTCCTGTCCTTAAAATTGTCATCATTGGGTACCCGCAAGTTCTTGAGACCCCCAGCATCATCCCATATCTACGGGTCTAGAATGAGAACCTTGGACTTAGACGTATAGATCTATCTCAAAATTCAGTACCCCAAAATTTGATTTATGAGTCGAAAACCTGTGAAACATTTGGAAACCGAGTTGTCCCAATTGAAATGGCCATAGAATGGGGCCATGGTTCACGAATTGAGATGAACCCAAACCTTCACATTGTCCGGACGTTCACCACTGCCCCGAGGTTCGACATGGCTCAAAGTGGCCGTGTCAGGGTCAGAGTCTCCTGTTGGTGGGGATGGAGGGCCTGAATAACTTTGCCAAAGGGATAGCTTGTTAATTGACACTCCACAAACTGGGATTTGGATGGACTTTCCTGGTACCTTTCTGGCTGCTTCACATGCCGAAAACCACAAGGCAGTTTCGAAAACCCCAGTGAATCCACCTGTCCCACAACTTTGTGGGACAAAAACAGTTCAACTTCACTCTTTCTATTCAAAAAAGAGAATAAAAACATAGTTCTTCTCATTTACCATCCAAGATTAGCCTCAAACGATCCCCATTTCAAAGCAAATGTGGCTGGCCAAGCGTAGATTGGGTGACTCGAGACGTCCCTGTGCTCCTGGGATGGTTGAGGAACCAGATGTCTCTGGTGCTTGTGCCATGGCCAAACAATGCACTTTGACGTCGATATCTCTGCTGGTTACTACCGATCGCACACAATTTTGCAGCCATGAATGGCATGGGTCAAAATTCAAGGGTCCAGAGAAAACCGCAGTTGGACTGATCAATTCGATTACTTTTTGTGGATCGAAAAGCAATACGTTTTTTTTGGTGCCGCAGTTTTCTGGGTGCTCAAAGACTGCGGGACCGCATGCTCAGGCAAATGGACGGAACAACCATACCATACCACAACCACAGTCGGCGATTGCAGTGCAAGTTGCTGCACTTGGTGCAGCCAAAGGTGATACCATGTGATACCACACCTAGCCGAAAACATGCCAACATGCGTTCTTAGTATACCAAGTCTTGTTGGTTATAGTTATATCCTTCGTGTCTTGCTGATTCATTTAATTTGATTCTGTCCATCTCAAGTGCTGAATTTTGGTGCCACAATCTGTTGGGTTTTGTTGCTTGCCATGGACCTGCTTTCGCCTCCCCGGAAAGCCCTTGGGACGATATAGGGGGGCCAACGGGACTTCGACATTTGGAGTCACGTCCGGACCATGAATTCGCAAAATAATCGGTTTCAAATGCAAAAACGCAATGGGGATGGCTCAAGATTTCTTGAACTCAGCGCGTTGATTTTGTAGAACATCCACTGGAAGCCATGGTAAGTCCTGCAAAGATTCCCTGCCACTGATAAAGGGATCCCTCAACATGGCACGGATCTTTGACCCCAAAATGGATCAAACTGTAGGCATTTTAAGTGAGCCATACCCATTTTCAGTGCTGTTCCTAGCATGGAAGAGACTGAGGCATCACAGCCTCGATCAACGAAGGCCTTGCCTTTGGAGCTCAGGATACATCAACGTGATGATGCATAGTTTGGTTTCGTGCCTTTCAAACCCTGCGGTGACTTTTTGAAAGCACTTCAAAAGCTGGAAAAACATATTGAAAGAAGGAACATGACTTTTTGAAGGACAGAATTCATCCACGAACATCTGAACTGCTTCCTGCTTCCACACGCTTCCGTTCAAACCCAACATCTAAGTCCAGATACACTCGCGCGCGAACCACGGAGCGAATCCTCTCCATCACCTGGGATCCACTGCACAGGTCTCCGCTATGTCTGGGGATTCAAAAAAATGATGTCCTGTGAAGATAAAAACAAAAGACCTTGATTTCAAGCCATGGTTCCTTTTGGAAATGTATGATATGATGGCTCCTTGGGGTCAGGCAGGGTTCAATCCCGTGTATACAATATGCTGGGAAGTTCAACCACTCCCATTGGGATCCGTCCCCAGACATCTGTGATGCCCAGGACCAGGGATACCCGGCAGCGAACATGACAGCAGACTGGGTCATCCCTCGCATGATCTCCTGACCAATCAAGAAATGGACCAGATGTAAGCAAATTGGGGATATCACCTAGGTCTACAATAAGGACAAGATATGGCCAATGAGATCCAACATTCAGGGCCAAGACTTGCTGCATCCCGATCGCTCGTCAATGAATGTCAATATATAAAAGTGGCTTGTCTCCCCACAGTTGAAGCACATGGTTGCAAATAAACATATATAAACATATAATGTGGTAAACCCAATCAGAAACCTAGCATTCAGGCGATGATATGGGGATGGGCTGCATTGGCTTCACCACATCTAGCTCCAGCCGGATCCCCCTATCCCAAGACCCAAAACTCGCTCCATGCTGATGCCGCGATACAGTGCAGGGATGCCTTCTTCCGAGAAAACCTGGTCACACAGCAGATTTTTGGTCGGGCCCTGGCCCACTTTTTTGGGTATGGACCCAAGGGGATAACAATGGAGGATTTGCGGAGACCTTTATGACCCAAAATGGTTGAGCTGTTGATGGCAGATGATGGGATTACAAAATTAGCGAAAATTCCCATGAAAAATGCCGTTTCATGTTCACATATATTCCAATATATATATATATATATTTTTTCCAATATCCCTCATATGACTCATGGGTCCCAAAGAAACGCCTTGCGCAACGCTGCCGTGGGGTTTGGCGCCAACTTCGCCTGTGCTAAGGCTTTTCCTCTGACCTCAGAGGCATCGTCAGTTCTGTATATCTCAGAAGTCCTGTGTGCACTTGCACAAAACGTCCGCTTCCAAAGGTACCAATTGGAACACTCTCACAGTAAGTTTTCATAAGTTTACCAGAATTGAATGAAAATGTCGCTGGAAATGTCTGGATCTTAGGGCCTTTCAAGCTAGCCATGGAAATCTCTGTCCATCGGCCGCCTTTCATCCGCCAACGTTTCTCAGCCGCCAACGTATGGATACACCAAACAGGTGGCAATCGCGCGTGCAACTGGCGGAAATCAATCCCCAGGGGCACCCCATGATCTCTCCTAGCTGTACCCGGCAATCCTTTCTGCAAATATCCTATATCTAATATATATATATATTAATATAGATTAATATAGGTTGAATATAGATTAATATAGATTAGTTATAGGTTGACTATGATGAGTATGATGAGACTAAGCCACTAAGTTCATAAAAGGCAACTAGCATGCAGACACGCTCAGAATTTCAAACGGACTCCGATCACATTGCTTCACCTGCGCCCAAGAAGAATGCTGTCAGCGGCTGCAACTCCTGCCATAACCAGCAGAAATGCGAGCTGACCTGGGGGGCTACAACTCCAAACAACTTGGAACCTCAAAACGGGATGCGGTTTACAACATATCAGCTAATGGTTATAAACAAATTATTGGGACATGATGGTGTTATTAATTGGTTTAATAATGGTTAATAATGGTTAACAGTATATTAACACCATCTTAACCATCAACCAGCCATTAGCAGAGTCTTGCCCCATTGTTGAGCCTCTGAAGCCCAAATTCTGTGCGTTCTCCACATCTGAATTTCTCACTGCTGAAGCAGCGGGAAGAAACAGCAAAGTGACAAAAGAAAGGGACCTAGATATCTATAATACTGTGTATACATGTACAAATACATAAGTTTATACTATAATATGAATATATATATATATATTATATATATATATCACTATATGTTAAATATTATTAAATTATATATATATATTACATGTTACACAAATTGGCATGATTACAAATCATCTCCGGATCTGCCGACCCTGCACCGTTCACCCACCTGCCTTGGCAGAGCCCTGGCGTCCGAGTCAAAGAATTTCGTTCTGGGTCGTTTGTGGGGAGATGAACGTGCCATTCTTATGGGGATTTATAGCTGGTAATAGTGGTTATTCAATTATTAATGGTTAGTATTAATGCTAAATAAAGGCGACGAATGGTGGGGACACCCTCCAGTGGCGTCAACGAACATAGCTCTGAAAAACAGATGAACATGGCCGATTTCTCGAGGATTTTACATATCAAAAACGAGGTGTTTTTCTGCGATGGGCTTCTGGGATCGAATTTCATATCGGTTCAACATCGTATGATCCTTTCGAATGGTGGTGTTTTTTAGGAGATTCCCATGGATTATGCCTATCTCCAAGAGATTGTATGAATGCACTATATAGGTAGTATGTGGTTATACCATGAGATACCCGGATGAGTGAAAACCCTGGTATTTGGCCCGTGGGTGTCGGGGAAAGGGGGAAACTTCATGCCGCTCCAGAGCACCTTGAGAATCATGCTCTTGATCCGATCGAAGAATGCAAACTCAATGCCCGGCTTCAGGGAAAGCACGAAATACCTGGTGCTTGGTGTCAACAGCACCATGTTATGGCAGTGAACCACTGGAAAGCAAAGTTCGCGCATCCACATGGGCATGAAATATCATGAAATGCCATGGAAACTCACTTCCCGAGACCTCGAGATATGGCCATGGATCAATGTTGGGCCCCAAACAATTGACAGTTCTCAAGAATGGTAAGTTCAGATCAAGGGGTGCCACAAAAAATGCTTCAACCAACAGCTAGTAAGCTATGTGTCTCCATTTGCCCAGAAAAAAAAAAACGATGCCTCTACCACCTGCAAATCCCCATGGCTCAAGGACACACCACCCTGGGACTTAAAGTCACCACAAATTTGGCCATGAATCACCATTTCAATGGCTATTCAATTCTGAGATACCCTGCATAGAAGGTCCTTTGGCTTTTCAGTAAAGTTGCCCATTGACCGCAGAAGATTGGGTTGTAGTAAACTATCCAAGATTGATCCGGATTTTTTGCTGCTCATACCCCAATTTCCCTTTATTGGTTTTAATGGGTAAGTCATCGGTCACCAAATAGGCCATGGCCTGTTCAGTTATCCTCTGGTAAACTAATAGTTTGCTATTGAAAATGGCCATTCATAGTTGATTTACCCATTAAAAATGGTGATTGTCCATATAAATCATCATTTTCCCATGGTTTTCCCATGGTTTTCCCATTAAAAATGGTGATTTTCCATAGTTTTTTGTTAGTTCACCAGAGGCTACCCAGAGATCCCCCAGGTGTCCATCGCTCACGCGCGTCCAGACTTCATCGCAGTGGCCAACCCTTCCCTGGTGAAGAGCGCCTGTGTCGTGCATGCAGAAATGGATATCCCATTCATTTGTGGCCCCTATAATGGGCAAATAATATCTGGATATATCTGGATATGCATTATACTGGGATTTAGTGACTTGGATAGATGTAAGACGAAGGTATATACTATACTGGGAATAGGTATAACTTACCAACACTTTGTCTTGTGTTTGTTCAAAGTTCAAAGTGTCCACTGCTCCCGAAAATCCGACATGCCCACACCCAGACCATGGCCCTTTGCCTGCTGAAGTATTTGCCACGTGCTCACTGCGGGACCGGATCGGCCATTGGTTTGCAGCTGCACCACCAAAGCCTGACACAGATTGCCATGAGGCTTTGTCTGAAAATGATGTACCCACAAACTACTGGTGTCTCTCTAAAAAATGACCAAGAATAACTTGGATGATCCTTTGGGGTCCCCCATTTTCTCATTTGAAGAAACTATTGTATATGGGTTTGTTTGAAAATGGTAAAGAACCTCTAAATCCAAATGGTTTCAAAGATCATGTTCCTGATTTGGTCACCGTTTTAACCATCTTGCCCCTGTTTTTGGACAAACCCATGAGGTCTGAGACACATCAAAGCAGCGACTGTTCGGCCACATCAAGCCGGATGGTTCTGCGAAGATTCTTCTTTTCTTTTTCTGTTCTTCTTCTATCTTATTTTGTCTTGCCCTCTTCTTACGGTAATATACTTCTCTTCTTCTTTCCTTCTTCCAACGCGCGTTCGATTACCAACATCAACAGCAGGACCAGTGGCCCTATGGGTGTGGCGTTGCTCTTTGATGTCAGGATTGACATTGCCAACCAAACTTTGGAGTTTCGACTCCTCCCTGGTCCGCCTTTGTGTGTTATTCAATCTTTTATCCTGGTGGTCACCGTTGTTTTGCATGGTGAACTACGGTCATCAATTAATTTTCATGTTGTTGCGGCGGCAATTCAGCTGCTTCCCCGTAGCATTCCATCACAACCGCTTGGCATCTGACAGAGCTGGCTCCACAACCGCCAATCAACGATTTGACTTCGTGGTCCCACTGTACATCGGTCGCGTCATTGAATAACTCCAAAGAAAAGGAACTGATTGGTAATCCCTTACCTCTAATAATATGTATATATTATATCTATATCTATATATCTATATATATATATATAATACACCCCACAAACGAAACTCTGGTGGAATCTATTCTCATTTTCGGATCCTTTCCTGGTCATTTTTCAAATCGGCGCCTCCACTGGCACACTGATAGGTACGCAGAGCAAGTCGCCTGGATTGTGGGTAGATGGGTATCAGATTGAAACGTCACATGTTAATTAATGTTAATGAATATGCATGATATATGCATGATATATATATATATGATATATCAATCTTAAATCGGTTCAAGCATCGTCTCCCAAGTGTTGACAGAAGCCGCTCATCATATCTAGACTTTTGCGCCGTTGGCGGTTCAGATCTGGGCTGCCCAGCTCAAATAACCGCAGAAGACAGTGGCCTCAATTCACAGCCCACTGAGATTGGGTGATGTCCCAAACTTGGGGATCGGCTCGGTCCGTTTCCGAAGGAAACTTAGCAGTCTTAGCAGCCTTAGCAGCCTTAGTTTTTTCAGCATCTTCTTAACATACTCACATGTCACCTTTTCAGTATATGTGGTAAGCGCAACAATAAACCGTCCCCAATATTGCCAGGATTATTACCATAGATGGGTGGTATAAACCATGCCCCAAATGGTAGCTTCATGGCATTGGGTGAATCATGGTGAATCATGGTGAATCCCACATCAGCAAAAACCAGCACTTGCACCACGAGTCGCCCGGCCAAAATTCCAGGCTCCCCGCAAAGCCTGCCCCAATGAAACGAGATTTTGGGATGTCAGTGTGGCTCAAAAATTAGGCACCATTAGGCACCCACAAAACCGAAGGTCATGTCTGGCAGTCTAGCATTGATTTATCCATTTTGGAAGGTGGAATCATTTATCAGACACTGGCCATAGGCGTGTAGTTCCGTACCCCAGCGTTCCAAACCAAAAAACAAACTGCCTCCGAAGAAGGGACTTGATGGCCGCGTAGTTCAGCACATACAACGCTTTCTGCTCGGTGGCCTATCGACATCAGAGCTTTCAGCTGCAGCTGACTGGTGGTGGTTCGGATGAGTCTGGAAGAGACCTCCAGTGCCGAGAAGGGCAAAAGGCCTCTGTACAGCCTCAGCACCAAGATTTGGCAAGTGGGCTTTTCTTAACAGTAAACCCTTGCCTGGAAGACCATGGCCACTAAAATAGAACTGCTGAGGCCTGCGCCCATACACACCCTCCTGATGGTGCCAAAAATGCGCCAAATTGATGCCAGATCATTGGGGTTTGTCTGAAATCAAGGTACCCCAAAATCCATTGGCTGATCATGAATTTCCGTTTCAAATCTTTAAGCAAGCAAAAGAGAGTAACATGCTGAGTGGTATATTCAATTTTCAGATTCCATCTCGCGAGCAGGGGCTCACCCCAGTCCTCCGCGATAATTCGCTTGAGCAGAGCAAGTAAAGAACCATCCTCGGTTGCCCATCGGTTTTACAACCCAGGAGAAAGGGCAAGAAGAACAAAAATAGACAATAAATATTATATTATATCATATATATATATAAATATATAGATACATATAAATCATATAGATCTTCAATGATCTGCACACATCTAAAAAAAGACCCAAAAAATGGGCCCCATCCCCAGTTCCTTGAGCTTTCCCATTGCGGGAGCCCATCCCACCCCGGCCCCGGGGCTCGGTTCTTCGTTTTTTTTCGCTCCGCGGCGACTCCAAAGTTCTTTGCTCAGCCCTGCTTTCGCAGCATAGGCTTGGCCGCCTCCGTTTCCTTGGTTCTTCTGAGGATTCAACCGGCCGTAAGGGGGTAGTAGGTGAATAAGCCATTAAAAAAAACACCATTGAGAATATGGTGTTAAGTCACCAAGGGCGAAAAAAAACACCAGAATCATTCCACCAAATCAGTGGTTCTTAGTTCAGCAGCCCCATCCATCATCACCTTTGGGGGCGTTGAATGCCCAAGCATCCATAGGCTCCAAGGCTTCTCCTCCCAACGCACCACCAGGCATCGACATCTTCCTCAGAGGGCACCCTCCTAGAATTTTCAACTAGCTATTACCCTCTGGTAAATTAACATAGACCCTGGCAGATAGGGGTTGGAAGACTAGTTTCCATTAAAAATTGGTGATTTTCAGGGTCCATGTTTATTTACCAGAGGGTAGCAGCTATTAAGACAAGCCCATCTTCAACAGGAAGGTCATCTACATTTACCTGAATTTCCGGAGATTTCCAATTGCCTTCTATGATTGATCACATAAGAAAGCAACTTCTGGGACACGTCTGCCCCTGCGAAATCCATACGCCCGGACAAATGATTGCCTCTGCGTAGGTAGTTGTACCCCCATTTTCTTGGCTGGCGAAAACCACATTTTGGCCGGTGATATCAAGATTCTTCACTGCTTGCCCAGTGAAATTTCCCAAGAGACATTTCACCAACATGGCCACGGAAAATCCATGGAAAATCGAGCAAAAACCCGTGGGAAAACCCATGGGAAAACACCAAGAGCATCCCAAGAGGCGTCATGATGGCAGCACCATCCTCGGCCGCCTCCTTGAAGAAAAACTGAGGTCAGCAATGGGTTCTACATGGGTTTGAAAACCATGGTCTTTTCCTGGAAAATCCCAAGGGGATCCTAAATCCAGTGGTCAAGTTTAGCATTCTCCATCATTGTCCCTATTCAAATGGCCATGACTGGGTTTGAAATCTCCCATGTTCAGACACTTATGGACTCGTGCTAGCACCTCATATATATGTAGTACATTGTTCCTTACACCTACAGTAATTAGTACCATATCTGGTGGGACTAACATCCATTTACCCCATATATTTCGATGTCAAAACAGGTGATTAATTACCAGAGTTTTGGCCCATTGCCATATCCATCACAGCATTGAAATTTTGGATATAATATATCCAACAAAAATATAGAAATCCGAAACCTACAGGAATCCTATCAGAATCCTATAGAAATTCCACAGAAATCTGTTAAAATCCCTCGCCCCGCACCTCAGCCGCCTGCTGCGCCCGCGCAGTGGCAGCGCGCTCGGCTTCCTGCTGCGCCTCCTTTAAGGCCAACGCCTCCGCGGCATCCTGCGGTTTGGGATTTTTGTTGGGAGGATTCATGGGATTTGTTCTATAAATAAGGGGCAATCATGAACAAAAATTACTTGAACTATCCAAAGGATATGTAAAAATATCATGTACACTGTACACACTATACAGACTATACATTTCTTGGAATGTATAGGGGATCATAGATATATGTCATTTTCCATTTTTCCGTAATAAAAAATAAAAATAAACAATTATAGGTCAATTGTTACATCCAGGGATATGATGGGTACATCAGCCAATTTATCATAGTTATTGGATTTAACCATCAGCAAAAAATGAAAAGAAAACACATATAAAGGGTTCACCCATATTGAATCATTGATCCATATTTTCAACCTCAACATGAGTAACTCTCCATTTTGGGGGTTCCCAAATCCCCAAGTCCCCTGTGGATAACCCCTTATGATCACATGGAATATGGATGGTCAGTATGATCCATATCAACATGGTCAGCATTTTTTCAATGGCAAAAAAAATGAACAACAAAAAGAACTCCCGGCATCTCCCATTTTTTCAGGATTGTTGAAGGAGATTTTCCCTCCACTTCGGAAACGGCAGACGTCCTCCGCCTTCTGCTTAGCCACCTCTTGGGCTTTGAGATCAGCAGCTTCCGCAGCCTTGACTTTGGCCTCCTCCTTCGCCAGCCTCAGTAAAACTATGGGATGTTAACCCCCAGAATTGGGTGTTTGAGCCAACTTAAATATGGCTATAATTTGAATGAAATTTTGAACATCACTTGGGTGTGCATCCCAGTTAGTAAGTGTCTTACTAACAATAAAATCAGAATGATATTAGAAAGTGGTAAAACCCCGAAACGCAAAGCTGCAGGGGCCACTCTTTCCTTGAGCCAAAATAGTAGTCACTTGAGGAGATAAACCCTGCCGTGCCCCTTGGCTGGATTAAAACTGTACCCCCCCTCCTACTAATGTGACACTTATTTCCTGCGAGCTACGGCGGATGCTGGCCATTCATCCGATTTCACAAGGCAGTTTTGTACAAGGCTCCTTTCATGATTCTGTGCAGCAAGGTTTGCGCGCTTTGAGTTTGATCCTATATCTCTGGGTGCACGGATCGCCGCTCAAGCATTCACAAGAATGACAGTGCTAACTTCCAGTGAGAACTGATCCCACATTTCACCCTAATTTAGGAACAGGCACGCAGGACACCTGCAGGGCGCGCGCGGGCTTAACCACAGCACTCTGCAGGGGCATCACGGATGTGAACCTACTGCAACTTCTGGTCCCTACCAAGGAGTGGCCAAAATGACCTTCCAACACAAGAACTGATCAAGCTCGACAAGGAAATGAGTCTATTTCGGGTTGAAGTCTATTCCTTTGGAAGTTTGGGATCAAAAATTCCGATCGTATCCAATGCATGCTGCCACTTCTGCACATCCAGACACTTAGTGAAGATGTCAGCAGCTTGCTGCTCTGTAGGGCGATGCTGGATCATGATGTCAGGTTCCTTAAAGGCATCATATAAACCGTGAACATTGATCTTATGAGTTTTGCCCAAGTGGGGTAATCGTGCAGAGTATCCATTGCGGATCACCTGTATCGTGGCAGTGTCAGCGTTGTCTTGATGGCACATGATTGGAACCTGTTCGCCAAACAAATTGGCTAGGAATTCTTGCGCTGGCATCGCATCACCAAAAAGGGCAGTCGCCAAAGCAATTGCCTCAGCCTCTGTTGTTGAACGACTGGCTGCTGTCTGACGCTTCGATTGAAAAGCTATTGGAAAGTAGGAACCACCGCCTGCTACCACTAGCAAAGATCCTGACGCGGAGTACCCATGTTCAGTCTTTGATGCATGGTCTGCATCTGTGAACAACTACAACTGCCAAGGATCTTCGGGGTTGAGCTTTGATCTCATCCGATAGTGCTTGGTACTATTGAGATAGCTAAACACCCTAAACAATCGTCGGTCATCATTCACACTCCATTTTGCTAGTCTCTTACTGAGTTCTTTGAGAGCATGGAGCAAATTGGCCTACTCAATCTGGCAAGCCAGTATGCTTTCATTATCAACTTTGCGGCAGAGTTGCAGAGCTTACCCTTGCTGTTCCAATCCTCCAAAGGCAACGCACTTTCATCTAGGTCCTAGGTAAGGAGTACGTGCTTTCTTGAACCCTCTGAAGCTTCCGCACTCTTCTTCGTATAACTTGCAGAGGACTTCGGCAAACTCATGCATGTCATACTGAAGCTCTCCTTTGTCAAACAAATGCGTTCTGCCTAGAACTTTGTGGACATCTTGGGGCTCCTCAAACCGGAGATGATTTGAGAGCACCTTTGTTAGATTTTGTTAGACACACAAAGTCCCTCTAGGAAGTTGCCGCGCAGAGATCAAAGCAAACTATTGCGTCACACACGACCGAGGCGAGTATGTATGAAGTTTTTAAAGGGGTAAGAATGTTAAGCCAGTACGGCGTGATAACCCAATAAAAGCAGAGTGATATTAGAAAGTGGTAACACCCCAAAACACAAAGCTGCAGGGGCCACTCTTTCCTTGAGCCAAAATAGTAGTCACTTGAGGAGGTAAACCCTGCCCCTTGGCTGGATTAAAACGGTAACTAATAGCCCATAATAAAACACATGTATACATAACCGGGGTTTATTGATCATCTACTAACTGGGATGCACATCCAAGCAGGCAAACAAGGAGTTGTCTACCTATGACTGAACCATGTCTCAAAGCATCATCCCTGTCCCACAGGACTTATGTATACTTATGTAAGGAAACACCTGTGCCAAGCATGTTGAAACCAAGGAACTCCTCTGCTTGGCGCTTCGCCCGCCAAGCGGCAGCTTCCTTGTCTCAACAGGTTAATTCCATCCAATTGACATCAACAAAGATGGGAACCCCAAATTTTCTCAAGTCAAGCGGAACTATGAGCAATTCTCAAAGAACCCATCTCGTGACAACTTTCCAACGGTCAAATCAATGAAACTTGTAGCACCACTGCAGAGTGGACCCCACCGCGTAAGTGCTTCATAATCCAGATGCAATCTGGTTATATTTCTGTGCATTTATGTGTATGTATATATATATATACACATATACATAAGTATATACTTGGGTTATCCTGGGTTCTGATTAGTATAAAATATTGAGTTTGACCAACTGGAACTGTTTTTGTTCTAGTCATAGCCACATTGCAACTGGGATTATGCTATCTATTCTGACGGTTATCCACTGCCACTGGTATACCCTCCGGCAATCAAACGTGGGCTGCAAAATCCCCCATTTAGTTTTCCAAGCGAACTAAACCTCCATTTAGCTTGGGGATTTTTTTCTAGCCGCATTTGATTACCAGAGGATAGCCCAGGGTAAAGTAACATAGATGTGGAAAACCTAAATAGAATTTGTGGATCATTTTTCATTGGCTTCGCCATGGTTTTTCCACATATTTCTGCAGGTTTACCCTAGGGTAGGTCATTGCTGATGATTAATCATGATTAATTCCCATGATTTCAACCCAATCATCCCTTTTGAATCCTTGATGGTTAAATCCTATTGTCATACCATCCCCCACACCTTGGCTTTCTCCTCAGCCAACTTCGAAGCGTTTTCCTCGGCCGCCTCACGTGCGCGAAGCTTGGCCAGCCTTTCGGCCTCTGCCTGCGGAACGGGGAAAGTAGCACTTGAAATGGTCAGAAACGGCTGCGACTCTGCGACCAACAAACTGAAGCCACTTCACTAATCGTGTCATGCCATGCTGCATCGATGCCAGCCTGAGCTGCTTCCTCGGCCAATTTGGACGCCTTCCAGAGTCCCCGAAGAGAGAAAAACTGTTGGAGCCAAATACTTTTTTAATGATTTATATATAGATCATTATCCCATGTCTTTGTGCTTGAAAGCCACTCCTGTCCGCGCTGACAATCTTTTGACACTATACGTGATTCATCCCCGTCGACTTGACAGTGCATTTTTGCTAGGACTCCAACTGACACTGCTTAAAATCCAAAGAAGAAAAATTGGACGGTCGATAGAACTATATATAATCCGTAGATATAGAATCTATAGATACTTATAGACTAAAAAAGATCATTAACTTAACTAGAGAAATTCTATCTACAAGTAGAACCCGCGCAAGGCGGGTGGCGGAAGTTTCCAGGTTTAAGAACTGTGACGCTATAGGATCCAGAGACAAGGTTTGCCTATAGGAGATGCAGGGGGCCCTCACAGCTTCTCAACTCTGTTCTGTGAATTCGGCGTCATTTTGCCTCACCCCTTTTCAATTGTGACCATCACTTCTCAACTCTTCTCAGGCCATCTCAGCTCTTCTCAATTTTCGCAACTCTTTTCAACAGCTCTCAAAGTTGTTCCATCTCTTCCCACCTCAGCTCAACTCTTTTCACCTCTTCCCTGCTCTTCTCAACTCTTCTCAACGAATCTCACCTCTGCCAACCTTGTCTTAACTCTTCTCAACTCTTCTCACCTCCTGTCACAGCGATGCTTACACACAGAGCAAGCTTTTACACGGAGAAGCATTTACACACAGCAAGCTCTCACACAGAGAAGCTCTTACACACAGCAAGCTTTTACACACAGCAAGCTTTTACACACAGCAAGCTTTTGCAGAGAGAAACTTTTACACACAGCAAGCTTTCGCACAGCCAGCTTTTACACAGAGCAAGCTTTTTCAGAGAAGCTTTTACACAAAGCAAGCGTTTACACACAGCAAATTTTTACACAGAGGAGCTTCACATTAAGCTCTGACACAAAGAGAAGCTTTTACACAGAGAAGCTTTTTAAACAGAGCAAGCTTTTTCACAGAGCAAGCTTTTACGCTCAGCAAGCTTTTACACAGAGCAAGCTTTTACACAGATAACGCGGGTGCCAACTGGACACAATGATCTTTGGGCAAGTGAGAATGTGAAAGTCCGTAACTCGGAGTTTCCTCCATGAAACCGCCGAGGTGACCATCCGCCTTCTTCTGTGCCATGGCTTCCGCAATGTCACGTGCAGCCGCCTTTGCCACCTCCAAGGCTTTGGCCTCCGGACTTGTCCGGCCAAAATCTGCTGTTTCGTGGGGGGAACAATCATCTATAAGTATATGTCTGGAAGTATCTATAAGTGTGTATAAATATATATATATAAGAGTCTAATTATAATTAAGTTTAAGTATCTATAAGATTCTATAGGATTCTATAAGATTCTATAAGTATCTATACGTATATTTAAGTGGTGATTTAAGAGGGGATTTAGCATGAAATAGCGTGGAATATATATGATTAATTCAAATTGATATGACTAACAATATTTAATGTGTGGGTTGTGTCCGAAAATGGGGCAATACCATGGTATACCGCCTACTTCATGGCCATTCTCAATGGGGAAAACAAAGATAAACCATCAAATGTGGGGGGACCTTATTTTCAGACTAAATGTTCAATGTTCCCTTAAATTCTGGAAAGAGAAAAAGAATTGCACATACATTACTCTGCGCCTTGGTTCCATCAGTTCATACCTCCATTTTCCGGCAAATCCCGGACTGCTTACTGCTTTCAAACCACGAGTTTTTTCCCTCTAGCAATGCAACCAGGAACATCTCCCTCCAAGTTTCCCATGCGTGCCAGGGTCGCCATCCAAAAACACCTCAACTGCGACCCCTCCAAAACTCCTCCCTCTGCACCTTCGCCTGTTGCGAGGCGATCTGCTCCGCATAGCTCTCCACCCCCTCCGCGGCCGCCTGCGTGGCCGCGGCCTTCGCAGCCTCCGTGGCGGCTGCCTTGGCGGCCTCAAAGGCCTGGCACCGGGAGGATGGGAAAATTGGGAAAACATCGTTTTTTTATCTTTTTTTCACGCCTTTTTCAAGCAATTTCAAGGATTTCCTGTGATGCCTTCTTGGATGATAAAGAACCAAAATTGGAGATGAAAGAAACACCAATGAATAATTTTGGAACATCAATCAAACTTCGGGATGGAGCCACAACTGCGTACAGGATGTCTGTTTTTGGTCCTCACTGATGCATCCCAAAACCACTGTGGGGGTTGTCCCTCGGCCTTTTCAGATGCCGATGCCAAAGCTTGTTCCTTGGCACTCTCCTCAGCATTTGCCTAGGTGGCATCGTGCAGTTTTTGGCTCGGAATAGTTGATGACCGAATAAAATTTGGTAGTTTCATCCTGAGATTGAAAGGTGTCATCCTACAAACAGCAAACATCAAAACATCAACAGAGACTATCTCAAATTCAGCATGGTGTCACAGTGTCCTTGCACCACCTTGGAGCCCGCACCAGGGCCCGCCCCATGGCCGTGTTGGCGGCATACCGGAAGGCCAGCTCCAGGGCCTTCGGATCCAGCTATAGCAAATCCTCCAGCCCTAAATTCGTCATCAATCTTCATCAGATCTCAAAGTTCAACAAAAAAACAATCCCCCAAAAAAAAATGGACTCCTCCCCCAACCCCACCCCATCCCAACCCCCAACCCCCATCACTCACATCCCCCACCCATCGCCTGCGCCGCCTTCTCCGCCGCCTTGCGCGCGTCCGGCGTCTTCTGAACCGGCAGCGGCGGGGCGCAGGCGCTGGCCACGGCAATGCCCTGCGCCAGGCCGTCGCCGTAAGCGGTCTGGGTGCTGCTCCTGGCGGAGGTCAAAATGATCAAAAAATCAATATTTAAACATATTTAAATATCATATTTAAATTTAAACATAGTTAATCAATTTCAATCATATTTAGGCGTAAGCCCAAGAAACTCATGTTTGGGGATCAATTGAATGATTTCCAACCTTCGAGCATTCGGATGTCAGGCAAAAATCCGCCCCATCTCCATCGCCTGATGGCACTGCGCGTGAAGGGCACCGTCAAATCGGCGGTGGCTTCGCCTGTGACCACGGCACCAGCAGAGGCGCGCTGGGTGGCGTTGGCGCTCACTGTGGCGCTTCCCGGCACGTCCTGGCTGGAGATGGCCGTGGCTGACATAGCCTTGCTATTCAAGCATGCTAGCCTTTGAAACATGCAGTGTGTCTAAATGGGGTACCCCAAAAATCCCATGGCTTCAAAGTTTGAAACCTATTCTTTCCCAATTAAAATGTTAGCGGATTGGGACAACGGTTCATATATAACTCTCTTCAGGTCAAAAAAAAAGTTGCCAAAATGATTCCAAAAAGTCAGAAAACATGTTTGTTGATCTTCTTCAATCTCAAACTTACACAATGCGGTTGTCCATTTTGCGAAAAAACGATGGGCCGGCTTGGATATCATGAAATGATCATTTACCTATTGGTGGTTTAATTACAAAATGACCCCATGTCTCAACCAATGGAAAAAGCACAACCAAGCGGACCAACCGGGTGAGACCCCCAGGTATATATAAGTTGCTTTATAAACCCATTTTTTATAGTTCCAGATAGCATGTTTCAATCATCCTTTTGGTGGTGCAGGATTTCACAACCATCCACAGTATATATATATATATGTATATATATATATATCACAATCTATAAACCCCACTAAGTACAGTATAATTATACCTACAATAAACCATAGAATTCAGCCACAACCATAAGGCAACTGAACGCTAACGGGGGCCCCATCCCTGGCATCACCTTGGCTTCACCCCGCGCCGAGGCAATGCCCGTGGACTCGGCCGTGGCTGAGACTTCGGCACTGCCTGGGGGAAGTTTTCCGCCGGAAGTGATGGCAATTTCAGGGGAAAAAATGGATCAAAGTATGGCAATCTATGGCAATTCTTAGGCAATGGCAAATTCTTTGGTGGTAGATTGGCTTAAGCGACTTTGAGAAAACGTGAACGAAAAAAACTCAACGGACTCAACGGCCAGTTTTAAAAAAGGGAAGATTGATGATAATCCCCTGGAATTCAGAGGTTTAGCCGATCCACATTTTGGAATGGAAATTCCAACCTGTGAAATCTGAATTTTGGAGATCCAACCAACAACTACATAAAAATCCGAAGGATGTCTTTCAGGTACCAAACAGCTAGAAACAGGGGGAGTTTCCTAAGGGATTTCCATAAAATCAACCATCCAGCTATTGGGGGGCATGACTATCTACCAGACTTTGAAACCACCACCCTTGGAGCCAGGCCCGAGGCGACTCCCGTTCGCGTGGCGGCGCCTTCCTTGGTGCAGTGGGGCCTCCCTGAAGAGGGAGAATCTGGGGGTCTCCAAACTTCATGTGATAACTTCAGTGTATCATTTCTAGGAGAACAAATCATGTGACACATTGATATTTGAATGTTGATATTACATGAAGTTATCACATTTGAATATCACATTTTCAACATGGAAAAAAGTTGATGTTTGAATCGTCCCGAATGGAAAAAACTTGAGATTCAACACCTGCTGATGCTGATGCTGTGTATATCGTACAAGCATGACCCAAAAGGATCACGTGGTCATCTGCAATTCATCCGAACGTGTGAACATGTTTGGGTGTGGTTCTTTCAACTTACTACTCCCCCAAATCCGCCCACAAAATCGACAAACATGGTCTACAGCTTGCATCATTCCAAAGAATCTGCCAAAAAAGTCATTCCATATCATTCCTAAGAACCTGCCAAAAAAAACGAAGTTGCTAAGAACTTCTCAAGTTTCAACCACATCCCTGCCGTCCCCATGGCCCCCACCTACCCACCCCCAACCAGCACCGTTTCGCCGCGCTACCGCCGCGCCCAGCACCTCCGCCTCCACGCCGCTCTGGGTGGCCTTGGCGCCCTCCGTGGCCATGCGCGTCACTGAGGAGGAGGCGCTCTCCAACTGCCGATGCCATGGATGGGACTTTCCATGGGAACTTCCAGGGGATTTCCAGGGGATTTCCATGGGAGATGGATATAGGTGGATGTGGAACTTTTAACCAACATGTCACATGTCTCTGAATCTATGAATGCTTGCTTGTAACGCCTGTTGGGTAGATATATCATGTTTTGTCTACAGCTAATGGTGGTTGTGACCCAACAAACATAAATTTTAAATGGTGGGCACCACCTTGTTGGGTTTTCGGTGGTGGAAAACCATGTTTTTTTGGGGGTAATGGGGATTTGTGGTAGGTGTTCGGTGGTTCGGGTATTTTTTTTGAAACCTTTTTTTGGTGGTTGGAGGTGGATGTTTGAGATTTTACAACTTACCAACAAAAAAAATGATGGGATGGGGCGACCATTCAAAAATGCTGAGAGCACTGGAATAGGAAACGCCCAGGGAGGGATGTGCACCTGGCCCCGGCACTGAAAAACCGCCGGGGCCTGTTCCGACTTGGCGGTGGCTTCGCCAGTGGCCGTCTGCTTCACCTGAAATCTCCAAGCGGATCTCACAGGTGGATGAAGTTGTGAAACGTTCTTTCCAATGATATTTGATGACGTTTGATAGTTCGTGTTTAATGATGATGGTTCATCATCTCAATGACTCTTATCTATGCCTTCATGATTTTGTTGGAAACCCACTGTCTCCTCTGGGTTCCCCCACGGTCATGAGGCGATCACCTCGGTTTTTGTGGCTCCCGGGTGCGCAGTTCGGTTTCCTCCCCATGGTGTTCTATCTCGATGAACCCCCATTGCCCCATTGGCAATTCAACATAGTGAACATGGCCATGGAAAATGACCCATTCATTTGTATATGATGTACCTATTAAACATGGCCGTTTTCGATGGCAAACTGTTGCATTACCAGAGGGTATATTCCATGAATATTCCACTATATCTCCATTCTATCTCCATTGAGCCACCATTTATAGATGGTTTTCCCGCTCAAACCCCCATAAGACCACCATTAAGACCATTAAATCATTTCCATGATATGCTCATTATATCTGCATTAAACCATCATTCATAGATGGTTTTCCCATTCGACCCCCCTTTTCGCCATGGTTTGAAACACGGCCCGAGCGGCTGTCTGCTGTAGCGTCCGCCTTCGCAGTTGCCGATTCGGTGGCCTGCAAATCTGGGAATACACTGGGCATATGGGGGGGGAAAACGTGGGGAATATATTGGGAGTATGATGTTGATCTATATATATGTGTGTGTGTGTTTATATATATATATGTGTGTGTGTTTATATATATGTGTATATATATATGTATATACGTATGCTTATATATATATATGTGTGTGTGTTTATTTGTATATATATATATATTATATATATATGTATGTGTGTGTGCTTGTATACATATATGTATATGTTTATCTATATATATATATATGTGTTTATCTATACATATGTGTGTTTATCTGTATATATACATAATTTTATCTATTTGTATATATATATATATGTTTATCTATTTGTATATGTATATTTATATGTATATATATATACATGTTTATATATCTGTATATATATATATGTTTATGTATGTATATATATATATATGTTTATGTATATACATATATATATTTACATGTGTATATATATATATATATATGTGTGTTTATATATCTACATATATTATGTATATGTATATATTATGTATATGTATATATTATGTATATTATGTATATGTATATCTAATTACGATATACGGGTCATACCCCGGAGCGAATGCTGCCGGTGCTTGGGGAAGGAATTCTGAGTCTTCCCATAATCATCCAAGACTACTTGTCGGTCAAAAAAACATTATTTTTGCAACTTCCAAGCAACACTCAGAGTTTTTCATCATACTCCTCAACTACCACCAGACCTTCAGGCTACTTGGAAAAGTCAAGTAGCCTAGGCTGTGGTTGAAGCCTTTGCCAAAGGTGAGATCTCACCCTTGGCAAAGTCACGCGCTTCAGACTCTTGTGATAGTCTGCACCAAACCTGAGAGTCTGCAAGCTGCTCTGCAAAGTCACCTGTTCAAGACTCTGGCTAAACTCCTCTCCAAATTAGAGAGTCTGCAGGCTGCTTGGCCAGGTAACCTTCTCAAGCCTCTGGTCAAATGCTCCCAACAAATTGAGAGTCTGTAGGCTGCTGGGCAAAGTCACCTGATCCAGACTCTGGTCAAAGTAGTAGCCAAATGTGGACTCTGCAGGCTGCTCGGCAAAATCACCTGCTCAAGACTTTCGTTTTCCAACCCTTCAACTCGGGTGATTCCATCTGCCGCCTCCTCGTTGTCAACGGGCTCTCCATTGAGGTAAAGCCACGCCTCCACTACATTGACTTTGGTGTAGACATAAGCCAGCTCAACTGCTTCTTCGCCAAGGTCTTGTGACACTTGTTCCTTTATGCTTCTGGTCAATGATAGGGCGTTGGCTCCATTCACCAAAGAGATCCGACTTCCAGGTTTATGGGTAACCTGAGCCCTTACCATCTTCAGCACGTCTTTGCCCCTTGTAGATGCATCAAGTCTCAGAGTGAAGCTGTCCCCCACCATACCAGAAATACGAACCTCCAGGACTTCCTCACGGCTTGCCAGCTCAACGACCATCGCGGTGCCAGGTTGAGCAGGCTCAAAGAGCCCAAAAAATTCAAGCTCCCTGAAGCCTGAAAACACACATGGTATACCATGTAATGTGGCTTTCTCCAAACATGGTGACCCCAAAATATAGCTGCAGGCCACGCCTGCGCTTCAATGTTGCCCTGTCGCACAGTGGCAGTCTCCTGTCACCAAACGCCACTTGATCCCTTTAGCCAAGTCATAAAACAGCAGTTACCCTCTGGTAAACTAACAGTTTGCTATTGAAAATAGCTATAGAAATAGTGGATTTACTATGATTTACCGTAATTTACCCATGAAAAATTGTGATTTTCCATAGCTATGTAAACGTTTACCAGAGGGTAGCCTCCGGTAATTCAACATGGCGATGGAGAAACTCCATGGCCCAATTCAGTTCGATGATCCGAATCCTCAGTTCGATGGCCATGTCATAGTGCTGGTTATCCCATTCTATCCCCATGAAAAATCCCCATGAAGTATACCCAATATAATAATTATTATATAATCATAAAATCCCCATTATTATAACCAAATATAACCAATATGGATTATCCCCATTCTATCCCCATGATATTATATTATATTATATTATATCCCAAAACCTGGTGGATAAAAAAAAAAATGTCTTGGGATATAATATAATATAATATACTAGGATATACTAGGTATAATATGGGGATATATTTAATATATTGGGTATTTTAACCATGAAAAATGCACTGGACTTAAAAGGTCCTTGGCGCTGGCATGGGCGCTCTTGGTGCTAATGGCCTTCACAGTGACCTTCTTTTCCACGGACATCCTGTGAGCTGCGGGAAGACACTCAGTGGCAAATATCATGAATCAATCACCAGCTGGCCCAGTTTGAACCCCAGAAATCTCAGAGTTGAACTCAACCCTAGTGAACAGTGTTCAAAACCTTGTTGGTTGATGATTAGTTGCTGGCTTCCAATATAAGGGATTATCACAATCCGTGAGCTGGGAGTCCCGTTCATAACCAACCAGTACCAGTATAGTGGGTTCACTCAACACTAAACAGTGAATTCAAATTGTGAAAATATCCACATGAAATTCAATTCCCATGTTGCTTGGTTGATTCCCATGGAAATTCCCATGTTGGCTAAAAACAGTAAATATATAAATTATATGTTGGCTAAAACATTAAATTCAATTCCCATGTTGGCTAAAAACAACCTATTTATATAAATTATCCCCAGTAAATCGCCACGAAATCCCCCATGGCGTCCTCACGTGGGCGTGTGGCACCGTAACCTGCACTGTGGCGCAGGCGTGGCCACTGACTGCGAAGGCCTTTGGGCAGTAGGCCTCGTGGCGATCGAGGCCTTGGCCGTTGAAACCATAGGAAGTTCATGGGAAAATGTGAAGCAAATCATCGTCTATACAGTCTATACATATGTATTTCAAGGGAAATTTGGGACAAATCACTCCAAAAATGTGGATTTTTGATGCAAAAATGTGGGAAAATCATCTATGAATGTGGATTTAACAGGGATTCGCAAGGATTGATGGGGATTCTAACCATCAATAAATATGGACCAAATAGGTTGTATCCCCTTGTCATCCAAAATTTGACCCATTTTCTCCGGACCCGCCCGTTATTTTGAGGCGGTTCCCAGACAAAACGGAAGGGTAAAATTAAGTCAAAATAGCAGGGGACAGTTTCTTCCTGTCCATCTGGCGTGGGCTAAACCAACCACAATGACTATAAATCTTATAAAAACCTATAAAGGCCCTGATTAAAGACCGGATGCAAACCCGTCAACCTGTGTGTCAAGGTTGGTTGGTTCGCCCACATTGTGAATCTATGGGTTTCCCTCCATGATGAATCTGTGGGTTTTGAACCGTCCTAAATGCAGCTAGTGAGCTAATGCCCAAGTATCTGTCTTGTGGAAGTAGGAATCATCAGGAATGGATGGTATGCTGCCAAAGTGGCCAAAGTGAGTGAAGCCGCACTCTCAACTCTCAAAGTGAGTGAAGCCGCACTCTCAACTCTCAACATTTCCTTCATCAACATCATCACCTTTTGCTTAACCACTGTTGAAGCAGATTTGTTGTTTTAAGCCCGAAAACGGGGGACAACACAAATGACTACGGACAACAAAACCTGATTTTCGCATTGGAGTTGCTGGCATCCATGGAACCAATTGGAACCATGGGTCTTGAAACCCTCCTATCATGTGGGACATTCAATGTGCTCCCTGATGCTCCCTGGATCCCCCATAGCTGGACCCATTTGGTTCACGTCCAAATGGCCCCACTGGCAATGGTCGTTGGGATCGCAGTCCTCGCAGATCGCCTAGCGCACTTGGAATCCTCTGAAACGGCTGTTTTCTTGGGGTGAAATGTTGGATGTGTATACATAGATATGGGGGTTTCCAAAAATGGTGGTACCCCAAAGGGCCCAAAATAGATTGTTTCTGACGGAAAATCCGTGAAAATCATTGAACATCCTATTAAAATTAATGATTTGGGTACCCCCATCTTGGGAAACCTCCATATATCGTATATATATATATATATATATACCTGCATTATACATTACAAGCAGTAATCAGTTGAAACCATTCCAACTGGGCATTTCCGGAACTCCAAGAACCGAGTTTCCTGCTTTTCCGGCGACAACGGATGGATCCTTGGGGATACCCCCCCAGCACTGCTGCCTGCTTCAGGATGGACGCATCCTGCAACTTTCCGTCGCTATCCAACTCCACGGGGATCTTACAGGTCAGCCCGTCCTCGCCGTCAGCTGCGGTCAAGCGTCCCAAGGGTGCTAACAGCGGGGAAATCGATGGAAATCTACTGGACGGAATTTGAAGAACCAATTACTTGACCTTTTTTCCTGGTTTGGTTTGGGGGAAGTGAACAGATTCCAACTAATCAGAGTCATCAAAAGAAGTTGAATAGGCTAGGTTATTTGTTGATGAGTTTGTGGAAGCTTAGCTTGGCATTTGGGATCATAGTTGTCCAAAGTACCGACTCACAATGTCATTTCAAGTGTTCAACCTCACCACTTGCCCATTTAACGCGGCCAAATATGTCCGAGTACTCGCCATTCCCATCGTTCCCAGCCATGGCTGAGACATGCTGAGACCCCATCCCATCCACCGTTCGTCCTGGCACACTGCAGGCCACATGGACGGAGCCGCCAAGCTTCCACAGTTCACCCCCTTTGACTGCTGAGGCACACCTTGCAACGGGGTGCCTGTGGAGACATCAAGAATTTGGCGGGATGTATGGATGGTTTTGTTCCAGAATCGACTGTAAAATCCACTTGTTGACCTATTTCATCCTAGTTTAAACACGAAAACGGCTATCCTGTTTTGATTGGGAAACCAACCTTACCTCGTATGTTCAGCTGGGTGGCTTATAGCCGCACTCCTACATCCTCCACATTGAACATAGAACCCCGTTTGAAAAAGGTCCGGCAGGCTTCTATGTTAGATTTGAGGGTGTGTGATTTGGTTATGATGGAAAATAAGCCAGAATGGAGGATATCAAGCAACCATTTTGTTGGATATTGATATAATGGGATATCTCTTCAGCCCCATGTTTGTTGCGCCAAGCAGCACTTCTGCAGCTCAGCGCTCCAGAAGCTCCCCATAATGCACATGCATTCGTCCAGCGCCTGCGTACAAATGAGGAAATGGTAAGTGACCCACACGTGATCCATCTTGGAACAGAAGATCTTGATATTAGAGATATTGGATCCCATCCATTCCCATCCCCACATTCCATATCGATCTTCCCCCATATTTTTTAGTTTCACAAAAATCACAAAATGGATCACCTTTGATCCCATCGAACCCATCCTCCACTTTCACACTGGTCTTGTTCATCAGCTCCACGTGAGGCTTGCGGAAGCCATCCGCCGTGCTGCCAAAGGGCTGGACGGCCCCCTCGGAGCCCCGCCAGGGTTTCCAGCAGACCCAAGGTGTGACGGATCCACTATGAGTGCACGGCCAGCATCATGGATGCTATTCTATATATATATATGTATATATATATTATTGTATGTATATATATGTATATATATATATTATTGTATGTATATATATATATGTATATATATATTATTGTATGTATATATATATATATATCAATATATATATTATTGTATGTATATATATATGTATATATATATATATTATTGTATGTATATATATATATATATGTGTATATATATATATATATATTATTGTATGTATATATATGTATCTATCTATCTACACAGTATTACTCTCCTAAGAATAATCGATGAATTTTAAGCAAAACGGCTGGGTCAGTGCCCAGTGCCCGTCACCAAGGCTCTACATCTTTCAGATCCGTTGGACGCGCAATCAGCACCGACGCACATGGAAGGCCGAGGCCACAGAGACCCAGGACGAGGGCCCTCTGCATTGATGACCTGCGATGACTGGAGTCGGTTGAGGATGTTTTTATATATATATATATATATGTTTATGGCTGCCAGCAAAATGGTGCCCCAGTTTATTCAGATCAGAAACCGTTTGGAAATGCCAGGTGAAGCACTGGGCCCACTGGGCCCACTGGGCATCCGGACGGACTGGGGGAAGGTGGAACCGGTGGAACCTACCACCAGGATTGAGCCACTGAAATGGCTGGCAGTGTACAGAATACCCTCTGGTTATGTCAAAATAGCTATTGAAAATGACCATTCATAGTGGATTTTCCCATGAAAAATGGTGGATCTTTCAATAGCGAACTGTTAAATTACCAGAGGGTAATCATCCTCATCCAGACTCAGCAAAAGTTCTCACCTTCAAAACCTCATCAAACCCAGCTGAATCTCCAACTTGATGAAAGGTAGCATGTTGCAAACCCAAGGCATGACACGGAGAGTTTTCTCACATGACTTACTGCATCCACTTCAGATTCTCAGTCACCTCACCTTGAACTGAAACCGTTTGGAAAAATAGTTCCTTCAGTTCCTGAGAAAAGAATGCCCTTCTGTAAACTAACATGGCTACGGAAAGTCCATCATTCATTTGTATCATGTCCATATGGTGAAGGGTATACAAATGGCCACCGGCCAGGGAATGCAGGTCTCGACATAGCCAAGGGCCGCACACTATTTGTTGCAAGCCTCACCTGGACACACCCACCAGGGTACAACGGAGTCGTGCTTTGTATCTGGCAACAACCTGCTACCCCTGCCTTCAATGTGTCAAAGGGGAAGGCGGCAGCACGCCCCAAAAGCCTTGGAGATCTTGGAGCACAGCAACCAGCGAATAATGCGGATAGCATCAAATTATGTACGTCCAAAGAAAAGTTGCACCCAAAATTCTCCCACAGTTGATTCCAGTTGATGCTTTAGGGAGCCTGGAAATCATCCCAATGTTTGGGCACAAAGTATACCTGTAAAAACCATACCCAGCTCCCCAGGACCTGTCTCTTTTTAAACGCGGCAGTTTTTTCTCTGTACAGCTGGTCTTATCGAATGGTCTTTGTTTCGTGCAGGCCAAAACCAGGTTTCGTCAGCCCAGTTGGCTGTTGAAAAGTCGTTGGCCCAAAAAGGCACCAGTGTCGCGCTGGAGACACCCATAGTTGCTGAAATGTTGGATTACCAAAACTTCATGGAGATAGGGGAAATTGGTTCCACCGGATTCCTGCCATCTTATCAGATCTTACCAGCTTTCCACCGGACGCCTATTGGCCCTTGTATTCTTCAATCATCTTCTTGACCTCCATTAACCTTGGGGTTGCTGACGCAGGATGTCCCAAAAAGCACCCAGAATCCCAATTGTTTCCCCCAAAATTGCTGCATTCACCCAATTCTAAATCAAAAAATCAGCATCAAATGAGTGAAATTACCCTGTTTTAATCATGTTTGAGTCAAAATATCACCGGCAAATCTGCAGCACCAAGTCACAGCAAAGGCTGCAGGCCCTGTCCCGCTGGCTTCGCAAAAGCATCCAGCACTTCTCGAATGGCCGGTGGCACATCGCTGGAGGTCTCATTCTTCACCTCGCTGCTGAAACTCAGGAAAAAAATAGTAGAAATTGTAGATATAATTAACAACTATAGTAAGTATAGTAGTGTTGTAGCTACTACAGTTAGTGGAGTATATCACGTATATCATAATGATTTTACTATAGATAGTTGTGATTGGAGTATATCACATATATCAGAATAACCTTACTATAGTGTGTGGTTATTGGAGTATATCACATAATATCATTTAACATGTATATGTATATATGGGTGCAGGTGGGGTTTCCCAAAGCAGGGGTGATGAAACGTCCCAATCATCATCATCATCATCATCATCAACAACACCATCACCGGCATCATCATCATCATCATCATCATCATCATCCACATATATCCACATATATCCACATATTGTGGGATATCGTTCTAACCATTTGAAGGAGATGTATAAAATCCTGCAGACAAGACATTCACGTACCAAGCCCTGGAAAACATATACTTGGCCTTGATTGTCATGACTCATGACGTGGATGCAATATCATGCAGTCATGTCAGGTAGTCCCACAAGAAGATGGAAACGTATGGAAAAGTCTTCTTCCCATTGTCGTCATGTGGCATCCACCTTGATATGTCCATCTTATTTTTCAGGGGACCATGGGGGACCAAAACTATCCCCGCCCCTTTCAACCCCCCGTACCTCCGGATCATCTCCATCGGTGGTGACTTCCTTGGATGTGCTGAAAGGGATTCCGGAAAATCAACAGCTCAACAAGGCTAACTCCTCCCAACAACAACAACAACAACATACAGAAACTCCACTGAACTCCAACTCCATTCACCCAGACCACATCCCAGCTTCGGTAAAGGCGATTTTGCCCTTCCCCCGCGCGTCGCCCACCATGGCTTCGTACTCCACGTTGAACGACACATCCATCAGGTGCCGTCGCTTACCGCGCGACACGGAGATGGAGCAGTCGCCCTTGAGATCGGCCACGGCGACCGTGGAGATGGAGCCCCCGTGGGGAAGGTCGAACTTCCTTGGTGAAACGTGGGAAATGCATGGGAGATCAATGAGATATGAATGGGGAATAAAATGTAATCTTAGTGGTTTGTTGATGTTTGTTGATCCACTGCTCAGTTGCTGATTTTTACAGTTTTCGTGGCTAATCCATCCCCAAAAAGAATCAAAATGTATTTATGTATGGCTATAATTCATCCAGCTTCACACCGATCAAGCCACTCTTCAACCGATCTTCCAGCCATTTGCTCATGCCCTTTTCTTCGTAGGTACCGGCTTGGTTCCACTTGCTGCCACCGCCCTTCCTTGGAGTTGCGGGGTCCCCAAACCATGAAAAATAAACTCAATCATTTCCCTACGTATAACACACACGCACACACACACACAGATATATATATATATAAATATATATATATATACATATTATATACATACACACTACCCTACATGGTGGAATGTGTCCCAAACTGCCTTTCCTCATTCGAACTTGTTTTTTTTTAAGAACCATCCAAAAAACATCCCTCAGATCCAGGCGTCGCATCGGACTCCTCTGTGGGCGCCTCCAACTTTTGTGGCTTCCCAAAGCCCTGCGCCTCGATGAGCTTCTTCGCCTCTTCCGAGATCTCGGTGTGGAAGTAGCTGGTGGTCTTGCCATCCGCCGTCTTCTTGTAGCCACGCATGTCGCTACCTTGCTGCGGAAAACACTATATGTAGTATATGTAATGACATGTGTAGATATATATATATATATGTGTGTGTGTGAATCACATATGCATGTAGAAATAGAGAGAGGAAGATGGTCAAGTGGAAAAAATGATCATCAAACTTCAAAAACTATTATATATATATACTATATATGCATATATGTTTATAAACTATAGAAATACGAATAAAGATATAGTATCATATGAAAATATGTCATGTATAATAGAGTATATGATACATATGTGTATATATATATAATATGCATATATAATATGTATATATATATATTTATACATATTATATATATATATATAGACACCTCAATTTCGGATTCTCATCCCAACTGAAGAGATCCAAACCAGCGGCCAGCATTGCCATTGCTGCCGTTGCCCGGTTTGGGAGGAGCCCTGGCAGTGGAGGCATTATGCAGTTCCACACGGACATCCTGGGCGTCCTGCTTCAGCTTGGCCTTGTCTGCGGCGTCCTGAGGGAAAACATGCGTTTAAAGCAGCAAGAATTCGGGGGGGAATTTTAGCAAAACATGAAGTGGATGTATCGGATGTATATCTCAAAATTGAAAAAAATGGACCTATTTCAACGGGAAAATGATGATACAAGTAAGGCATTGGATTCTGGGGTACCCGTTTTGGACTAGCTTCGTTCGGGATGGAAGCATCACCTCAAATGGTCAAACGACGTTCTCGTAGATAGGTCTCCAATTAAGAGGTGTCGTGATCTCCACTTTGGTGAGTCCAGCATCAAAGTCTTGGGCCCAAAAAAAAATGAAAAAAGGATACCCTCTGGTTATGTCAAAATAGCTATTGAAAATGGCCATAGAAATAGTGGATTTTCCCATTAAAAATGGTGGATCTTTCCATAGCTATGTTAAATTACCAGAGGGTACGTGGTGTTTCAAAACGGAAACAAAAGGATGTTTTGATCCGTCCATCTCGGTCCTTCTCCTTATCCTTCTGGGCCTTATCTATGAGCTCCTGAAAGGACTTGTTCTCCGGCTCCAACTTGGCACCTTCCTGGGCCGCCTGGATGGCTTCATCGAAGTCCCCCAGCCGAAGCAGGGCCTGGGCCTTGCGGTGGTGGGCCTTGACGAAGCTGGGATCCAACGCCAGGCACTTCTTGGCATCGTCCAACGCACCTTCGACCTTGTTCAGGTTCAACCTCACCAGTGACCTGGGGAGTGATTTGTTTTCTGAAGAAAACGGGCTAGTGCTGGGATTCTTTATATAGGATTATATAGGTGTGTACATGTATATGTCATGAACTATCTGCGGAACTATGCAATTTGAGGAGCAAAGCATATCCCCCAGGTTTGATGCACATCCCCAACCTGTTAGAGTACAAGGCCGCTTCTGACTTCTGAGGCAACGATGCCAGCAGGTCGATTGCCTTGCCATACAACAGCTCCGCGCTGGGCATGTCCTTCTGCGCAAAAGCGCCTCTCATCGGATGGAAATGGAACAGGTCATCCTGGGCTTTATCTATTATTTACCATCAAATAAGATCAAAATCCAAGCAGCTTCCTGTAAGAAGGACAACTTGCTTATTCATCATGATTTTACCATGCGTTACCATATCTTACCAATGTTCAATAGCCATGTTATTGGAGGCAACCCAACACCCTCCAACCCTGGGTGCCTTTGGCTCGATTCTTCACCTCTTCACAAAGCCGCAGCTTCGCCGCCTCCTCGACCGGCTCGTCGTTGAGCACGTCGGCATGGCGGTTGTTGGCGTAGGGATTCCCGGAGGGACCCCCCATGGTCGCCCGCGTACGTCAGAGGTGAGCCAAAAATGCTGAGAGAAGGGCGGCTTGGGGGGTTGGAAGCCATGTTGCTGGTGACCAATTTGGGTGCCCTGATACTGCTAGGGTAAAGAATGGTAAAGGATATTTTGGGGTCACAAGAATAGCAAAGAAAATTGGGAGCATTCTCACTCAAGGTACAACATGGTACAACCATCATTGCTGCTCTGTTCGCTGCTGAGCCGCCAGACCCCCCTAAACCACCAGAGATACCTTCGACCACAAGTTCCATGGCGTCAAGGTACAGTGGTGCAGCTCACATGCTCTGTAAACAAACTCACGGCTAGCACCCATGTGTTGCATTTACTCTGGGTCTAGGTTTTTGAGGTGTCCCAAAAATAAAGTTTGACCAGAACTCTGCAGGTCAATAGAATTTCGTGAAAGCAAAGGGGATTTTCGACTCATTCTGCCAGCAAACCGTGGCCTAAAGTGAAGGAAACTGGTAAGTCTTCTCTTTGTAAGTTCAGTCATTGTGTTCCACTTCCCAACCTCTGCCGGCTCATGTGCGCAAGTAAAACCCCTCTTGGGACTGGAGCCATTTTTTCCAACATGAATTTTCCTGCAAGGTTGTCGTGATGCCTCTTCGCAGCTTAAGCATCTTCCCCAGTCTGGGAATGTCAGCAACCACCAAGACGACTCGCTGCCGCGCACCATTCGACCCGTTTTCTCGTTCGCGCTCAGCGGCACCAGTTCCTCATGGAACTCGAAAGTGCTGCATGGCACATGTGTTTCTCTGAACATTGGGTACCCCAGGGTACCCTAAAATCTCCTGGTTGATCATTATGTTCCCTTCTAAATTGCCATATGTAAACGGGGATAAATGGGGTATGCCCCATTTCCGCACAAAGCCACCTCCCCTGCGGCATCCTGCGGCATCCTGCGGCAAAGTTTCAAAGTTCAATTCCTGCTCCGCAAGAGTCTTCCCACTTTCGCAGTGCAAATGCAGTGTTTTGTCGGCCGTCTGCACCTTGATTTGGCAGCTGGCCCACAATCCCGAGCCAACGGTGCACAGCCACATGACTGCATGTTTAGTTGCAATTTGGCTTCAATATACGCTGGCACCACCTTCCATTTTCCCACTCGTACTCCTAGTCTTAAAAGAAAAGGATAGAAAATGTTCATGAGTACAGCTCGGTTCTGCATAGATGTCAAGTTCATACAAATTCTTCTTCCTTCCTCATCCAAAGCAAAATTCCAGACTGTCAGCCCTTCCCCCTTCACTGCTGGGAAGCCATATGATGCCCTTCCTCCGTCAGAAGCTTGCCTCGGCAGGTCTATGTAAGGATAAGAAGTGCGGCTAGATTTCATACCATAATCTTGGAAACAGACTGCGCAGTCAGAAACAAAGTCAGGGAATATGCAAATATGTGTTGCCACAGTGTTGAGATCTTGATTCCATTTGGACTCCGAAACAGCAGGACCTTTTCGAACATGTCTTGCGAAGCTTGATACACATGAGGCATGGCAAAAACCCATGATCCATCGGCAGAATTCACTTCTTTTTTGGGCAGGGTGTCCAAAGTATCAATGTAATTATTCTCCGTAAAGATAGATGATTTTTCCATGAAAAAAACCTTCATTTTGTTGGGAGTTTTTCCGAACTGCCACGTTTTGAAAAAACCGGAGGGTTTGGCTGCCATGTCACAAGTCATTTCGTGAAACTTGCCACAACCCCCCACATTAATCAATGGATTGGTTTAAGGGAAAATCTACAGGAAACCATGGTTTTTATCATCAAATATAGGGGTTTCCTGTAAATTTTCCCATCATCCACTTCTATGAATTAAATCATATTAAATCCATTCTGAATCAGCTATGAATCACCGCACCAAGTTTCCCCCATCCAGGCGCCAGCGTAGAACACCGCTGTTTTGGCGATGGCCCAGCATCAGCCGCTCATGGAACGACAGCACCAAGCCCGAGGCCAAGTGAAGCAATTGACCTTGCCTCGGGAGGATCAATTTAAGGGAGAAGAAAAAAGGAACTCACCCCTGAAAAAATGGAAAAGTGTATAATTGATCACTGATTTATAGAAAAGTATATATGATTTCTTGTCATTTATTATCTATGTGATAGAAAAATGTCTAATAAGTTATCAATATTTCAATGGGACTTTACCAACTTGTATATTTTGGGGGGGGGCTATAAGTGGATAACAATCTTTAAATGGATTAAAATGGTATACTGTAGACATGAATATTTCTAGCACAACATGCGGAAAAAGACAACGGGGAAAATTGCAGGGAATATTCATAACTGTGAATCTGTGTGGGAATATGATTATCATTAGGAAATGATATAAGTGGATAGAGAAGCCAACATCAATCATAAAATATGGACAAATATGATGGTAATTATATTTTAAGCAACAATGCTCCAATCGTTGGGGGTGATTTCACAGAAACTCTTCACCGAAAATCAATGGTGTTTTTCCATGGCTTCTTTCCCCATCAAAACCCGGCATTTCCCTGTAGAATTTCCCTCAAATCCAAGGACCCATCAGCTGGTGCTCCAAGGAACGCATCGTGCAGGAAGAGGAGAAGATGCCGTTCCCGTCTGGAACGCACCAGCATTAGCGGCGCCTCTCAAGGCAGGAACAGGACTTGGAGCAAAATGGACTCAGTTCTAAAATGACCAAAAAATGCACTTAGTCCTGGCATGTCAGAGAATGATAGAGAATGGAGATGTTGGTCAATTGACCTTAGAAGCAAACAGTTCAACTAAAGTTAACTAAAGGCTTTTTCGATGGACAGCGCCTCCTCTAGGTCCAGTGCCACAATGCTCCCAATGCTCCCGAGATCAAGGTCTTCGCCAGGAGCCGGGCATAACCTGACCGATTTTTCGGAGTTCGAAAGTGATCTTCATCGAGATTCCTGTGGAATGAACTGGCAACTAGTTACCCTCTGGTGAACATACAAAAAACTATGGAAAATCACCATTTTTAATGGGAAAATCCACTATAAATGGGCAATTTTCCATAGCCCAGATCCCAGGCCTCGTCCTCACCTCCGGGATCACTGGGCTGAGGAACATCTGCCGCGGGTTCTGGGCACTGCAAACCGTGGCCAGGAAGACGAAACGGTCACCTCAGGGGGCGGCCGTTTCCGCGGGGAAAAATATGGAAAACGTCGAAAATATGTAGCAAAATATGGCAAAATGATGGAATCTAAAAGTTAGAGGGTCCCATAACTTCTTCCGATTTCTACTTTAAGTTCTTTGGTGTCCGTGAAAATACATCACTATAGACTTTTTGATTGGAAACACTATTTGTTTCGAATGTCTTGGTTCTAAAGACTTAGCTATGCTTTTCAATGGGGTTTCCTGTTAGGTCTACCCCATTTTTAGACACACCCAAATATCGCAGTGTTAGATATATCCCAGAAAATATGGGCATGATGTTCCATGAAATCCCCATTAGCCTTTTAAGTTCTTTGGTGAAACCCGTGATTCACCATGCTTTCCAGTGGAATTTCCCATGAAACAATGCAGAAACCTCAGCTCCACACGCCAGGCAGAGCAGTCCTGCTGCAAGCGCTGCAAGCTGATGGAGCTGGAACTGGGCCAAAAGTCCAGGAGCGCCTCGGACTTCCAGCTGACACGGCTGACAGCTTGATGAAAAAATTGCCACTTCAGGGACCGAAATTAGAAGTAAAAAATCGGATATTAGAGGTACCTACCATTTTTTTAAGACCCAAAAAAAGGGCTATGTAGGGGAATATCCTCACAAAATATGGCCTTATATGGTACAGTACCTCCATTTTTGAGGATCCTGAAATTCCCATATACTGATTCACGCAGCAAGATCCACATCATTCTGAAGTTGCAACAGCCGGTTTCTCACCATTCCACAGCCCACTTCCCGGTTTCTCACCACTGCTGAGCCATAACTATGGACACCATGGTCCATTTAGTTCGAGGACTTGGCCTATTCAAGTTGTGATTTTACTCGATTTTACATAGGAAATGTGCTCACCAGAGGGTATCCATGGGTATCCCAAATCAATCCATCAATCCTGGGTAAAAATGTACCCTTTGAACATCACCCCACTGAGGGGAATCATACCACTACCACCATCAACGATGAAATCCCAGCAGTACATTTACCAACTCTATCCCCATCAAAAGGTCATTGTATAAACGTGTCAAGACTGTTTAAGCCCCAAAAAAACATCTGGAACATCTGGAACAATCCGCCATTTAAGTAGCATCTATTTATAGCTGATTTTCCCATGAAACCTCAGGAAAACTGCCTTAAATTCCACCACTATGCAATGATTACTTATAGCAGCTACAGCAGTTTTTAATACGACATGTTCCCATGACCACTGATAGCAGCAGCTATTGGGATAGCCCATATGTTCACCCATTTTCATCACTTTCCCATTGAAAACTCCTCTTTTCCTCTCCAAAAATGTCCCCAACAACACCACCCCCACGGCATACCCTCTGGTAATTTAACATAGCTATGGAAAATGGACCATTTACAGATGATTTTCCCAGCTAGAAACCTCCATTTATCATGGATTTTCCAGTTCGCTATGTTAATTTACCAGAGGGTAACTTGTCCGCGCCACACAGTGCCCGCTGGTCCATCCGCTGGGCTGCAAAGCTTCCAGCATCGCCTGGTGACTGCAGAGCACCAGGCACCGGTCCAGGGCCAAGTCGCAACGGGCCAGCCCTGCGATCATGGCTATGGGTGAATATATTAGGGTGATATAGAATCTTTAATGGGTATATAGGAGTATATGATATATCAATGGCTCTAGTCTAGTACATCATATGATTATACAACTTTATACATGTTTTTTTTTTCTGACTATATACTATTATAATATTATCAATCATAGCTACCAATATATATATATATATGAGTATTGTCATAGCTATAATCAAATATGTGTACTATATGTTGAGTAAAGTTATTATGCATATACATCATAAATATCATATATCAGAAAATGTGTAATATATTGTAATGTAATATAATATACATATATATATATATGTATATATGTGATATATCTATAGGTGCAATGATTGGACAATCAATGGCTACGGACCGTCCAGCACAGGAGCCTTCACAGGTGATCTGGTAGCGCTCAATGGCCATCTCCCATGTCTCCTTGCAATTTCTGTAGCCTCTGAGAACTTTTCACATAGCTATGGAAGATCACCATTAGTTCATAGATTCATAGGTAAATACCATTCTATAATCGGTATATACAATCTGGTAAATTAACACAACTATGGAAAATCACCATTTTTCGTGGGAAATACCAGAGGGTGTATATCTATCTATCTATCGATCGATCGATCGATCTATCGATCTATCGATCTATCATCTATAAATCACCATGTTCAATAGCTACGTGAAAAATTACCAAAGGCAGCCACATGATGCATCTGACCTCCAACACGGGCTGGTCCCAAATGGGCGCAGAGGCGACGGTCGGCAAATCCACATGAACCTGTGGCAGCACCAAGCGACGACATCAGATGGAAAGGTAAAAACATAATTAGACATCATGGCCACGATTTTCATGGCATGATGAGACATGATAAAAATATGTTCATATCATATGATATTAATATATTATATGGTTTTCATTATGTATATATATATATGTATATGTGTATATGTATATATGTATATATGTATATATGGTCTTCCTCTGGCCAACTCAAGTGGAAACAGAAGATCCACCAAGCTTTGACCTTGGTCCCCATGGAGAGTTGGAAATCCTCTTCAGCGATCATCCAGAAAGCTTCAACTCCAACTACCCTCTGGTCAAACATGGCTGGCTGGTAAATCCTATGTAAATGGAGCTGTGAATGTGAAATCCACTATATAATAAATATAATATGTATATATATATATATGGTGGATTTTCCATTGCGATGTGTGATTACCGGTGGTTCATAGTCTACATGACATGTTCAAGTTCAATTTTTTAAAATAGATACTCAACTGCAACTAGATATCTAACCATAGATCTGGATAAAGTTGGAGTTGAGTATCTATCCTATATATACCCTCTGGTAAACTAACATAACTATGGAAAATCACCATTTATAGTGGATTTTCCCATGAAAAATTGTGATTTTCCATAGTTATGTTAGTTTACCAGAGGGTAATTCAACCATAGTATAAATAATATGGTTGGATTCTTGATATTCACCCAATAATTCACCAACCTAAAAAAAAATCAGCAATTGGGGGATGATGCCGCTTACCATAGACGTCTATAGACGTCTATGATCGAATCGTCAGATCCTGATGAAAAAAAAGACAGAGAGATATTCTTCAACGATATCCCCACGAGTGAGGTAAACAAAAAAAAAACATCCCGAAATCATTATTTTTATCCATCAATAATCCCCAAATGCTAGGTTTATTATTGGTTTTACCCCCCAAATATCCCAAAATGTCATGGTGAATCCCCATCAAAAACGGTCATAATTGGAGGTATACCCACCCCACTATATCACCAGTCGTTTCCTCACCTTGGTTGCAGCGCTCGGCCAGTCCGCCAAGCCAGGCTCTGCATAGAGATCCGCCTCCCCCAGGGCTGCAGTCCAAAGGGAGTTGAATGGGTGAATTTCATGGGTGTTGAATGAGTTTTCCCTATGAAAATAGTGTGTTTAATGGTTCTGATAATATCATTGGATTGGTTTATGGGAAAATTTACAGGAAACCATGGTTTTTACCATCAAATATAGGGTTTTCCTGTAAATTTTCCCATCATCCAATTCTATGATAATATGTTTTTTCATATGTTTTACCGTAATGACTTGATATGGGTGTTCATGGATTTTACCATGTTTGACCTATGAATCCACTGAGAGTAATGAGAAGGAAATGTGGAAAATGGTTTCTCCTAGAGTATTTGGTTGATTTTATATGCGAATAATGTTTCTAAGTCTAAGTAATGAATACGGTCATTCAAATCCAATTTGGGTTTCTCTTTTGATATGGCAGTTTGTAGTGAAATATTTGAACATGTTAACGGCTATGAAAATACGGTCATTTCATGTTGTTTATAGTCGTTAAATGAAACAAAATGCAGAAAACCATGGTTTTTCCCAGCTACCGTCATATTGAGGTATCCGTGTTCCCTTCAAACAAGTCTGGGAAAAAAGAAAAAAAAAGCGGGGAATTGTCCTTTTGAAATGGTCCAATATTTGTAGCACATATTAATCCTCACCTATGAACTACCCTCTGGCAACTGAACAGGTCGCTCTGGAAAACCACCATTTTTAAGAGGTAAAGCGTCGAACTCAATGAGCCCTTGTCTATAGCACGCGGCAAGAAAGTACAGGAGGGTACATCCTCATCTGACGAAAAAACTATCTTAATTGTTACAGTAAGCTGTTATAAAATATTATAAACTATTATAAACTATTATAAACAATTATAAACTATCATAAACTATTAAACCTTTCAGAAAGTTCACCCGATTTTCACTACCAGAGGTCCGATTTCACCCATCGCATCCGCTCCTGCAGCCGATTCGCCACGATTTTGGCGGTCTGCACACAGCGAAGTGATGGAGAGGTCACCACCAAGGGCCTCGGCCAGACGCCACCCCCATCGCCACCACGAGGGGGATGAATCTCGTTGAGAGCAGAATAAGATGGGAATTTTGGAATGATCACTTTATTGTTGAACTATTGGTCAGTTGGGATCATGACATTCCCAATATATGGAAAAATAAAAGCCATGTTCCAAAATGTTCCAAACCACCAACCAGTCATTGATATTGAACTCCAATTGATATTGAACCAGAACTTAATCTCCCATGATTTTTCTTGCTGAATCCTCCCCTAAACCCTATCTTCATCGGCTCCCCATCTCCCAGCCTGGAGTTCTCTTCCAATGCTTTCTCCAGGTGAGCTGCGGTAAGCTGCGCCTGTAATGTTGTCATCTATGAAACTGTAAACTCCAAAATATAACAATGTATAACTTATACCATTTGGTTATTTAACATAGCCATGGAAAATCACCATTTTGAATAGGTAAACCATCTATAAATGGGCCATTTTCCATGGCTATGTTAATAACCAGAGGGTAAATGTTCTTCTGATTCATTATGAATCATAAATGTTAGAACCAGCAATGGATTGGCTGCTCCAAAAATCGTTGTCCCTTCATCCCATTCTGGGAGACCGGAATTATCTCCTGGATATGGGGGAGAAACAAACATGGTACGACATGAGCCATTAAAAATACCCCTATCCCATCTCATTATACTAGTTGGTTGATAGGTTTCCCTATTATGGGTTATCATAATCCCCAGTAAATCAGGTAGTATAATCCCCTATAGCAATCAATTCACTAGGGTATTTTTAATGGCTCACATGGGTCTGACAGTACAGATATGGGCCAATGGGTTTGTCTGAAAAACGGGAATACCTTGTCAGGGTAATTTTGATGATGATGATGATGATGATGATGGAGGAGGAGGAGGAGCACGACCGTCAAGTGCCTCTGCAGCTCTGCTACCTATCACCCCAGCCTGCACACATCCTGTAGCAGTGAGCGGGGCCTCACCAACAATACCTGCAGCTTGGAGCAGCAAGAAATCTTTCAAGTAGTGGATTGATCCCAAATCAGCCTCTAGTAACCTCCAATAGGTTCTAGTAGAAGTTTACTTTTCCTATATTTTCCTTTTGGGGGCTACAAGTACTATATCCAAAGGGGTAGAACCTCATGCTCCCCAAATTGGATAAACTGCCCCAGTTCGACACCCAAATGCGATGCTATGACTCCTTCCCACCTGCAAAGGGCAGATTCGGCCCATCCGCGCGCTCGCCATGGCCTGGCAGTTGCCGCTGTGCTCAATAGATTGATTTAAGGGAAAATCAACCGGAAAATCTACAGAGAAGGGTGTGAGGCCCATTTTGTGGGCTCATCCAATGTTCCTTTCCAATCCACAGGGTGCTACAGGTTCATGGTTTTCTCACAGCTCAGGTCGTCACGCAGCAACAAAACGCGGCGGGCCATGGGTTTTTCAGCGGCCCCGAGAAAGAATTCTTGGATATGGCACGAACATCCACGAACGGATGAAAGCGTATGTGTCATCGAAGAAAGCACCAAGCAAATAAAGTACCAAGCAGGTCACCAGGTCCCTTCAGGATATTTCGGTTGGGTACTGACGCACAAACGCTTCATGTTTTTTCTCGCGCTCCGCCCCAGGCGGCAATGTTTTGACTGGGTTGCACTGGTATGCAACTGGCACCGTCTGCATTTCTCTGTCAAATTTACGACGTCTCTCGAAATGCCTTTCACCGTTGGGATGAGAGATGCAGAGAGAGAGAGAGTTCAACCTGACTCAATCAATAACCGATGCAGTTTTGAAGCCGCTCAGCCATTGTACACAGCAATGGCTCAGACTATTTGAGACAGCGCTTGCGCTTCCCACGGAGCTTTGCTTCCTGCGATGCTGCCAGTACTTCAAAGGGTCACAAGTGAGTTCCAACCTTTGAATTGGAGTCTGACGTTTTGCGCCCTTCTCGTCTCCCTTGCCAGGCAACTGTGCAACATCTGTCCAAACTTTAGGAAAGCATATCAAAATATATCAAAATAATGCTAAAACATGTTGCTCAATTTCTCCATTTTCACCAAGGATCAATGGAAATCCATTGAAATCCTCCAACTTTTGACTATTCCAAGACTCCTCGGATCTGCTGAAGCTCAGGGAGCACTGTTTAAGGCATCCTGCCCCACGGTCACCGGGCGAAAGCGCTGTGCATTTCGATAAAGAGAGACACACCATGGATGATCAAAGCTCACAGAAAGCCTTGGAAAACCATGGTGAAACAATGTTTTATGACTGGCACGCACAGTTTGGTTATCTTTGGTTGTAGTGATTCTCACACATTTTGAAAACCCAATAATCACAGCAGCAACACCCACTGTGAATCATTGAATCTTAGTGAATGGAGGTTGACATTGTGGAGGGAGGGCTAGGGATAAAAACTTCCACCCTTTCTTTGCCTTGCTTGGAGGTCTGCTGTGACCTCTTTGGGTGTGTACCTGTCGAAACGCAGCACGAAACGCAGCTTCATTGGAGTCAGGTCAGACTGCTGTTACAAATCTGCAAACCCATTGCGAGTCTATATCTGGAGACATCTGTCGTTCTCGATGAGAGAGAGTCATACTATAAAGCCAACGCGATTGTCTGCACCACATGTGTCTTTTCCCAAGTCTGCAGTCAAAGTTTGGGTTTGCCTGAAAATTTACCCCACCGCGCTGGCACTCTCTCGCATGTGTTGCCCGGAAGAGTATAGCGGCGATCACCCTGAGGTTCCACGCACATAGCCAGTGTGAAGCCAGTCGCATGAGGATGCTACCACAACCCATTGGCAGGTCACAGCTGTTTTTCCGTTTCCGAATGGACATGTTCACCTTCTTGTGACTCCTTATAAATCATCATACCCAAACAAAAGTTACATAATATGGAACCGAAGTACTGTTGCTGATAAGATTATACACTGTATGCGTGTTCCTGCGTGTCACGAATCTACTCTCATGTCATCAGTCAGCCCAAGTGCCAGACCCCGCCAAGAGTTCTATGAAGCAATAGTTAGATGCATAAAATGCAGAGGACATCCTGCAGCTGTGAAGATAATAAGGGACAGCTGCAGAAGGTTCATAAACCATGTTCCATACAGAAACACTTTTTGTAGGAAAAATTGAAGTGAGTGACGATGAATGCAAAATCATCTACGTGTTGGACCATAGATTGGGGAAAACGAGTTTCAGACCTACTATAGGGCCTATTCGTGGATAGCAAATGTTGGCAATTCTTTTGAGATGTTCAGTTCATCTTGAGTAACAAAAAGATTGAGACCACTCCGCTGGGTGTGTCCGGTACATCAAAAGGGCTTGAAGCCTACGGTTGCAGACCACTTGCTCAGTGGCAAATCAACTCAACTCCCAAAGTCCAATCCCAAAAAAAACAATAACATCACCAATAACATCACCAATAACATCACCAATAGCATGTATATAAGATCCAAGTCTATGGCTGCAAGTATAATCCAGTTGTTCAATTTCTCTAGATTACCTTTTTCTACACCCACCCCACTCTGACAAGTTCCTTCCCTGCACCAGGGAACTAACGGCCACAGCCAGCCTCGTTTCAAAGGAAAATCTGCAGAATACACCTATAGTGTGGGGGGTTCAACTATGGTTAAAACATGTTAAAAACTATGATTTCCTGTAAATTGACCCTTAGAAAACCATAGTTTTAACATGTTTTAACTTTTAACCACGGTTTTAACATGTTCTAAACCATAGTCATTACGTCATTATTGTACCATGCTTAGTAGCCATACATGAGTTCTATGGCTACTAACCCCCTCACTTTCTCCCAGGATGCCACGTTCCCGGACGAGATCGCTGGGTTGAAGCCTCGAGGCTCACCATCCAGGTATCAATGGATTGGTTTCGGGAAGGGAAAATCTCCACCGGAAAACCCTGGAGTGTTTTTGAACCCAAAAAAAGTGGTTTCCTGCAGATGTGTTAAGCTGGGGCCAGATGTTTGTTGGATTTGAAAACCTGGAAACCGTCCAACAAATGGAAATCAGCTGAACTTTGGTGGTCATCAATGATTTTTGGTGTCAAAAATAGGTGTCAAAGTTGTCCAAAAATGAAAGCTGTCAAGTATGCATCCGCATCCTTCAGATTTACCCTTTTCATATGCCAATTTCCGCTGCTATTTCACCTTCAGTGGCGGGACGTATGTGCCATAGCTGACTACGCTTGGCGACGCCTCTTGAAAAGGCGCCGCGGCCTTTGCAGGCATTGGATTGGTGGGGACTTCGTGGGCCTTGCACCGCAATCTTCACATTGGTAGCGGAGCTGCCACATCTGCTACCGGCTGGCTTCGCTGTTTGCTTGAGCTGGCCCTGAGCAGGCCCTTGCTGGACTTTGACTCCATTGCTGCCTACGGCCCTGTGCAGGCCACTTTTGTTCTTTGTGCTTGGCCTTGAGCTGGCCTAACTGCGTTCTGTGCTACAGGCCCTGTGCAGGCCTCACTGCGTGGTTCCCAGGTCCTGAGCAGGCCTGGAGGTACTTGGACTTTGGCCCTGAGCAGGCCGTACTGCTGCGAGCTGTCCTGGCCTTGTGCTGGCCCTTGGTGCACTTTTTGATCAAGATCGGGCACAGCACTTCGAATTCGACAGCCTGGTGATTGACTTCCTTTGCTTGGCTTGGATCGCTACGATCACCTCTGCCTTCGACGATGTCAGGTGGAACTGGATCTGCGAGCACAGCTGGCTTGGATGTTACAACCACCAAGGACTCCTACATCCCCTTGTTCAGTGGTGCTCCTTCAGACTATAAGGAGTGGAGAAAGCGATTGACCATCTATGTGATGAAGATGAGGATGGCGAAGAAGGAAGCTGAAGGCTTGCTTTCTGTCATTGGCTCACTGACGGGCACAGCTTGGAGGCTCTTGGAGAACTTCCCGATCGAGGACATTGAGAAGGCAGGAGCTTTTGAGAAGATGCTCAAGATCCTCGACAAGGCCTTCGAGTACGACAAGTCCGTTCAGTTGCCAACTGACTTCGACAAGTACTTCACTGGGCTCCATCGACGCCCAGGCCAATCGCTGCTCGAGTTCACCACTGAGCACGACCATCTCTACAACAAGCTCTCCGACCACGACGTCACCCTTCCTGGAAAAGTTCAAGGATGGCACTTGCTGAGAAGGGCCGGTCTGACAAGGGAGCAGAGACAGTTAGTCACTGCCCAGGCCCCGACGTTAGAACGCAACAAGGTGCAAGAAGCCATGTTCCTGCTACTTGGACAGGATCACAAGACGGTCGCTGGTGGAGGACAACATCAACATCATCGCGGTTTCCGAGGGAAGGGGCGAGCTTACACCGCCTACTATGAAGATGCTGACAACGACCCGGATCCCGATGACTGGCCTGATGATGATGGTTGGGAAGAAGGTTTCTATGAATGGGATGACACTCAGTCCCATGCCACCTCACCGGTTGATGCGGATGAGACCTTGGAGGACTTTGACACTGATGCTGCCTACTTTCAGACCCTGGAAGATGTTGACCCAGCTGAGCAGGCGGAAGAGTTTGACACGGCCTACGCTACGTACTTGGACGCTCGGAAGCGCTTCAACGAGATCAAGCTCAGCCGTGGATACCTTCCCATAGTGGCCCTCACCGACGGCAACCTCTCTCCTGGTGCAGCATCGCCGCACTCCTCTGGGTCCCCGGTGTCTCCGGGACGTGGCAAAGGCAAGACGAAGAAGGGCAAGGGCAAAGGTGGTTCCAACACCATTCGATACCCACCCCGGGGCAAGGGGAAAGAGCCCGATCCGAAGGGGCGTGCAAGAGCTTCAAGTGGCCCTCCAACATGCCTACGTTGCGGGCAGGTTGGACACATGACCTACAATTGCCCGGTGCCAAAGGGCGGAGCCACGAAGCGGAAGACAGCCCCGACAGAAAGCACTGTCAACCACTCCGAGTACGGCCATGTGATCTTTACAGATCTTGGAGGCCATGAACGACATGACTGTGCCATGCTCGACCCAGGAGCCAGTGCATTTCTTTCTGGCTATGGCCCTTTCTTGCGCTACATGCTCAAGCTCAAGGAGACCAACTACGACATCACCGAGATCAAGTTCATGCGATGCCAACGAACCTTCTTTTTCGGAGGTGATGCCAGTTTGAACTGCACCTGGACTGTCCGCCTTCCTCTTCACCTTGGCGGCAAGCATGGCTACGTTCAGATGTACCTGTTGCCTGGCGAGACGCCGATGTTGCTTGGACGCCCCATCATGGAAGCTTTGGGACTGGTTTTGGATTGCCGCAGTCGGATGATCAAGTTGGATGACACCCCATGGCAAGATGCAGTTGTGGGTGCTCACGGTGAGTACTTGGTCTCTCTCCTCAACGAGTACGACAACGACATGTGGCAGTTTCCTCCCTCCTTTGAACTCATGGTCCCAGCTGATGGCGGCACCAGTGGTGATTTCTTGGACTTTGGCACTTTCAACAAGGAGACCAAGCTCTTTGATGACATCTCCAATGTGCAAGCCGCAGCACAGGATGGACTTTGTGCGCTCAAGCGTCACGTGCTGCAGACTTGCGATGTCACTCTCAACACGTTGGAGAACAAGCTTCATGCCTATGTCACGGAAGAGCTCCATCAACCATCCCGAAAGCGATTGCTCTGGGAAGTCTACTGCGGTGGTGCGAGGGTGTCTGCAATTGCAGAATCTATGGGCATGGACGTTGAGATCTTCAGCTATGAGACTGGTTGGGACTTCGACCTTGAAGAGCACCAGACAGCCTTCATGGAGCGACTCCGAACGGAGATGCCTGATGAGGTCTACTTGGCCCCAACCTGCGGCCCTTGGAGCCAGATGCAGAACCTGAATGCCAAGACAGAAGCCCAACAGCATGACCTCTACCTGAAGAGATCTCATCACCACGACTGCCACCTGATGTTTGTCACCCAGATCTACATGGAGCAGATCAACAACGCCCGACATGCACACATCGAACAACCAGAGCGAGCTCTCAGCTGGCGCACGACAGCCCTGAAAGATCTTCCTGGACACTGGATCATCTTGCACCAGTGCATGTTTGGCTGCGCCTGCCTTGACAAGGATGGATGGTGGAAGTTGGTCAAGAAGCCCACTGGCATTCTCTCCAGCAAGACTTCAATGCAGGCCGCACTGGCCAAACTATGTGATGGACAACATGTTCACTGTCCCCTTGAGGGCTCGGCACCTGGACTTGGCCGACGCACCTCATACTTGGAGGACTATCAACCTGGCCTTGCAGCGACGATTGCAGCTGCTCTCTGTGCTCCTGACCCTGCTCAGCTTTGGGACTTTGGCTTCGCCGTCTCTGAGCAGAAAGAGGTCACTGGATGCCTGGTCAAGCTCCAGACGGCATTGAAGACCGAAGCAGTTCGCACTGTGCAGCGATTGCATCGCAACTTGGGCCACCCCAAGCCTGAAGCACTTGTCGAACTCTTGCAAAGCCGTGGAGCTAGCGACCAAGTCATTGAGGCAGCTCGCCACTTCCAATGCACTGCTTGCTTGCGCTACAAGCGTCCAAATCAGGTTGCACCATCGGCTCTTCGACATCAAGTTCGAGAAGTTGGTGAACGCCTGCAAGCTGATGTGCTGTGGATCAAGTGCAATGCCAGTGAGAAGAAGTTCCCAGTGCTCAGTGTCATTGACCAAGCCACCAAGTACACTGTTGCCACGGTACTTCATGGTGAACGTGGAGATCATCTCATACATGGGCTTGAGCGTGCCTGGATCAGACACTTTGGTCTTCCACAATGCCTCTGTTCTGACGAAGGACGCGGCTGGGTTGGCGAGGAGATGAACGCTTGGACAACTCAGCATGCCATCGAGCACATTGTGGCTCCAGCTGAGTCCCATCGACTTGCCTTGGTCGAGCGCCGACACGTCACCTTGCGGCGCGCCATCGAGATCTACATGGATGACATGAAAGTGACCGGTACAAAGGGCATCAGACAGGCCCTGACCTATGTGGTCCCACAGCTCAACGACACAGTGAGCGTGGCCGGTTACAGCCCATCTCAATGGCTCCTCGGCAAGGTCCCTCGACTTCCTGGTGGACTCATGCAGGAAGAGCTGGCTCCAGCCCATTTGGGAGACCATGACCAATTTGAACAACTTCTTCAACAGCGAGCTGCAGCAAAGAGAGCCCTGATCTCTGCAGATCTTGATGCCAAGCTGAGACGTGCCCTTCTGCGACAGTACCAAGGCACAGACCTCCCTTTGCAGATTGGGCAGAAGTGCTTCTTTTGGAGGGATCAACGACAAGACCGCTTGGTCAAGATCAGATGGCATGGCCCTGCCAGGGTTGTCATGGTTGAGTACTCCAAGGACGAGAAGCCCGAGCTCTACTGGCTGGCCTACAAGACGCAGCTGATCCGGTGCTCACCGCACCACGTGCGCGCTGACTTCACTGCAGCCGACACACAACTGGCCGATGCTCAAGAAGCACGACGTGAAGTCGCCTCACTGCGGTCCAGAGGTGTCACAAGGTTTCTGGACCTCAACAAGATCAACAGACGACGACGTCTTGAGGACTTCAACGAGGACGACATCGCCTCAGGTTCAGAAGCTGGCGACGATGATGCTGATGACTTGCAGCCACCAACAACGCGCCAGCGCACCTCCTATGACACCACGGCCCAGAGGCCTGAACTTTCTCTGGATGAGGCCATTCGAGAACTGGGACTGGAAGATGAAGATGAGCTCAGCATGGCACCGACCTCACCAGCTGACACACCCGCTGAGCATCCTGAGTTTCCTGGACAAGCACAACCTGCTGTTCTTCCAGCACCAGCTGTCCCAGCTCTACCACCTCCAGACCAAGTTCCACAAGGCGACAACGTTGTGCCGATCAACGTCGATGAAGATGAGCCAGGCCAAGAACCTGCTACGCTTCCAACACTACCTCCAACACCTGATGATGCATCTGCGCCTGCACCTGACCCTTTTGGACTGACATCCACATCCTCTGCGCTCTACGAGCCTGCCCAAGAAGACTTCCGAACAAGACGGCTGAGGATGGATCAACATGAGACGATGCAGTTCACTCCCTTTGGTCCCATGCGACGTGGTGCAGGACGCCATAACCCTTATCCACAACAAGCACCTCCTGCAGATCCACAGCCTGCTTCAGAGCTCTTTGGTCAAGCTTTTGCAGTCGATGACATTGGTGGTGGTGATCTTCCCAAGGGATGGAGCATCGATGAGCATGGCTACTTCCAGCTCGATGCCCACAACTTCCACGACTACTGGGAGATCAAAGCTGGTTGCCTGATTCGACATCACCTGCAGCCCAGACATCGCCGTCACGACATCACCAAAGAGAAGGACTGTCCCTTTGACTTGAAGCAGTTGGACCCAGTTCGTGTCACGATGATGCGTGCACCCAATGGCACCATCCAGGTCTCCACCGACCGCTTTGACACTGTGGTTGCGCCCAACAAGGCCGCCTGGACTGGACTCACTGTGTACCAACTGACAGGGGCTGTGAGAAAGGAGCTTGCCATGTATGCCACCACTCCCGCAAAGAGGGTTGCACGACAAGAGAAACATGCGGCCATCAAGAAGAAAGCCTCCTCTGAGCTCAATGAGCGTGGACTCACCGTGCACGAGCGCGAGCAGTTCATGCAGGCCAAGATCAAGGAGCTTCGCAGTTTCTTCGAGAATGGAGTCTGGGAGTTTTCCAGCGTTCGGGATGCTGACCCGCAACGCACCTTGACCACGCATGCTGCTCAAGTGGAGCAAGAATCCGGACGGAAGTCCGCGGGCTAAGGCTCGATTGGTGGTCCGCGGCTACAACGATCAGGACGCGCTTGAAGGAAAGGTGGAAACTTCAGCTCCCACCACAAGCCGCCTGAGCCGCTCTATGTTTCTGTCTTTGTCTTCAATCCTGCAGTGGTGTGGATGGACAGCCGACGTTGCAACAGCATTCTTACAAGGACTTCCTCAAGAACGACAACTATGGGTCAAGCTACCCCGAGAAGTTCTCAACATCTTGGGTGCTGATGAGACGACCCGAATGCTGCTGCGCAAGCCTTGCTATGGACAGATCGACGCACCGAGAAGATGGTTTCTCGAAGCTTCAAGGAGATTGACATCAATTGGGCTGCGCCCTCATATGCTGGATCCTTGCTGCTTCCTCATCTGCGAGGCTGACTTCCCCGACATTCAAGCCTCCGACCCTAGCAAGTGTTTGGGATCCGAACGGATCGTTGGCATGGTTTGCATCCACGTGGATGATATGCTTGGAGGTGGACTTGAAGAATCTTTGGTATATCAACACGTTGTCAAGCAGCTTCGACAGATTTTCAACTTCCGCGAATGGAAGGACCAGGACAAGCTGGAGTACTGTGGCGCAAGCCTTCAAAAGACCCCGACTGGTGGATGGAAAGTGGATCACGCAGAGTATCTGCGCAAGGTGAAGCCCATCTCACTTCAACGTGATCGAGGTCCTGAGGACTACATGACACCGTCTGAGGTCACCCAGATGCGAGGCTTGCTTGGGTCCTTACAATGGCCCGCTGTGCAATCACAACCGCACTTGCAGTGCTCTACATCTCTTTTGGCTGGACAAGTCTCTGCAGGACTGGTCAAATCAATCCACGATGCCAATCGCTTGCTCAAGTTTGCCAAGCTCAACGCTGACGTAGCACTTTGCTACGAACGCATCTGTGATGTGCAAGATCTACGACTTGTCACGATGGTCGATGCAGCATTTGGCATTCGACGTGACGGTTCCTCACAAGGTGGCTACCTGACCATGCTGGTCTCCAAAGACGTCTTTGATGGCACCGAAGGAGCCTACCATATCATTGACTGGCGCTCATCGAAGTTGCCACGAGTTGCCCGCTCGAGTCTTGGAGCCGAAGCCCAATCAGCAAGTCAGGCCTGCGACAACATGGACTTTGTTTGCCGCTTCTACCAACACCTCTTGGAGCCGAACGAGCCACTTGCCAACATCTTGCACAAGCCGAGCCCTTTGGAGCCTACGCTTGTCACAGACGCCAAAGCCCTCTACGACAGCTACTACAGAGAGAGCCTCAGCAGTGGCTTGACAGACAAGCGCACTGGCTTGGAGATCAAGGTCTTGCGAGAAGGGCTGGAATCGCTTGGTGGCCGCTTGAAGTGGATCTCCAGTGAGAGACAGTATGCAGATTCCCTGACCAAAGAGGGCACTCGCCAATTGCTGGCAGACCGCCTTCGCTACGGAAGGATCAAGCTGTCTTGGGATCCTGACTACATCGCGGCCAAGCGCAAGAAGCTCTCCGACCGCAATGCCAGCAGAGATGAGTTCTCGCAGCCTCTTGCCACAGTGGTGGAAGAACCTGAAACCACTGAAGACGTCCCTGTGGAAACCTTTGCCTGCTTTGGCGAAGAGATCAACTATGAGATGAACGACTGGGATGAGATGTCTGGCAAGGCTGTTGCAGCTCACTTGGAGCTACGTCCTGACCAAGCCATTGACCTGGACTTTAACGACACCCTGCCGATTGTGCACACCCCGATCATGGACATTTCCTACGACCCGGAAACAAAGTTTGAGGGCGTATGGACGATCCTTTCTCTTCGAGCATTGCTGCGCTTTGCCCTTTGCATTTTCATGCTTGGACTTCTGCAACCACTTGGTGCTGCCGCTGCTCCTCTGAGCGATCCAATCACACCTGACACATGCCCCTATGTCGACGTCATCCAGGAGCCGAAGGCTTCCTACTGGGACTACTTCTGGGATGCCGTTGTGGTGCTGACCTTGGTGGTCTTTGTGGTGGGTACCTACCTCACCGGATGGGTCCACGGATGGTGGATTGGAAGAAATCACGTTTTGAGACAAAGGCACATCCGAAGCGATCGCCTGTCTGCCCGCTTGGATGAGAAAGTGGTGGAGAACATCGCCCTGCAGGACCAGATCGAGGAGCTGACCCGACAGGTCCAGCAGCTGACTGTTCCTGGTGGACCGATCATTGCAGATCGAGAAATCCGACATTTGCAGCAACAGCTCAAGAGCCTTGAAGCCAGTTTCTGGCAGAAGGATCAACAGTGCCGCCAGATGAACCGGCACAAAATGGGTTACATTCGACAGATTGGTCGCTTGAGGGCCATCTTCAACGAAGCAAAAGATGTTGTAGGCCGTGCCCGAGCTGAAATCCACAATCATGTGCATAACAGATGCACGGTTGGCCGGCCCATCTATCATGCGCCTCGTGGACGCGTATGGCATCTGGACGATCAATGCTATCAGCTCTACCGCAGTGCAGTCATTGAGTTGCATGCCTGCGACAACTGCGCAAGCTTCTATGTGACCCCGTACATCCATGACATGAACAACACCACGCTGGCCCAAGACATGGACAACTTCATGGCGAATGGGCTTGCTGATGAAGATCCCGAAGTGCTGGCCGAAGCTTCAGCGATTCTGGATGATGAAGCCCGCCTTCGCGCTGCCGGAGTTCCAGATGAAGAAGCCCGACTGGCATTGCAAGCGCGAGCTATGAGCAGTTCTGGCGTGTGACGCCATTTTTCTTTACTTTTGTACCTTTGATCCAAAGGATCACAGCAGTCCGAAACGGACCCTCTTTCAATGAATGACTTTTCCCCATGTCAAGTATGCATCCGCATCCTTCAGATTTACCCTTTTCATATGCCAATTTCCGCTGCTATTTCACCTTCAGTGGCGGGACGTATGTGCCATAGCTGACTACGCTTGGCGACGCCTCTTGAAAAGGCGCCGCGGCCTTTGCAGGCATTGGATTGGTGGGGACTTCGTGGGCCTTGCACCGCAATCTTCACAAAAGCAATAATGTGATATACCAATGTTTTGACAAATGGAAATATGGGTGTATACCCAGGTCCATTATTGTTTCATGATCAGAAATGTCCAAACATGTTGTTAAAGACGTAGATTTTCAAAAAAACAATGCAGTTTCCTAGATCTTAGAAATTTCCCAACATGATATCATTCTTTTGCTAGTAACCCCTGAAAGATAGAGAAATGTAAATTCCCACTAAAATTCCCCTTCTGGGGAGTGCTATAACCCATTGCTGCACCATTGACCACACTCTGGTTGCGCCAAGTGGCACGCACCGGAGATTTTGGCGCAGCAGAGGCAGCCAGCTAGCAGGGCAACGCCAATGGCCAGGCCAAAATAAAAATTCCTGGCGTTTTTTCATGGGAAAATCATCCATAGGTGGCTATAAATTGTGGATTTGTTTAATGGATGCCCAAAATCAGGGGATGTTTTGCAGCAATCCAATCATGGATGTCTGGGCACCAAAATGTGTCCGAATCCTCGGAGAGATAAGGCCAGTGAAAAGGTGAGTTTTTCTATGACAAATCCTACCTTCACAACAGGACTTGTCTCACGACTCGTCTAGTAATACCCGGCTTTGGTATGTCGGGCGCAGCGAGAAAGTACGTGGCTTTGCACAAAACTTCACCCATGGAAAGAGCCAGGGAGTCCGCAGGAAAAATCATGAAAAATCCATCTGCCATATGCACTGCTACTAGTAGATATCAGTTTCTTCCTTCATGACACCCGATTGAAGCCACCGAGTCCTGCTGTAGATGCTGTTGATGCCCTGGCTGGTGGCCAGAGAGTTCATGGGAAAATAGGTTTGGTTTCACTGTTGTCGGCGGGCTGAAAGGAAGTTGTATAAATGTCAGTAAAACAATGTCATTTTTGCGACCCTTGACTGGGAATGGTTTATATATATATATCTACCCTATGAAAATGGTGATGACTGGGGGATGGTAAACATGGATGGTGCAACTATTATTTATGTTTATGGCATTGTTTTAGCCACTGTGTTGAGAAGTTTGCTCTCATCCCGAGAAACCCTGCTTGACAAAATTCTGGATCTCTTCAAAAAATGCGGTCCCAACCGGCGAGTTGGCTGGGCCCAAAAATGGGATACACCGGATACACCCCAACAAAATACGTCAAAATACCAGTAACTCTTAGAAAATTATGATACATCATTGATTTGCTACCACGTTCGCCCAGCCTTGATACATGAGACAGCCAGAACCGCCAGACAAAGAATGATGGAAAACGTCAACCTGGCATAGGCCGGAGGCCGAACAACTGCGAGATCAGTTGCAAGGCGCTTCGGTGCGTTGAAAAACTGGAGTATACAACCAGAAAAAAGTTGATCAGCACTGTTCAAACCCCTCTACCATTCGATTGCAGTCGCTGGTGAATCGGGAATAGCATACTCCATGACGATAATCCCAATATATTGGATGATTGGGTAGTGAAGCCCCTGTAACCAGAAGCTTGGAGCAGGGAAAGCCCATGCCTATGCTTTGCTCACCTTGGACACTTGATGTTTTCATGATCTGCGCTTCATGGCATGATCTTCTTCTATTGAGCTGTTCTGAGGTACTGAGCCGACCCGTAGGTGTTTGGAAATTGTTGTTTTGTCCACCAAAGGCGTTTTTCCCTTCCATTTTTTCATCCTTCACATTAATTGGTGGTTGTGTCTATCGATAGATTGAATTGCAAGACCTTGATGCTACTTACAGGCTGGCTTGTGCGGTTGGCGCTTGTCGCATCGTTTTGCGCATGTGTCTACGTGTGCAGTCTTGCCAGACCCTCTGAAGGAGGACCAGGTCCAGGACTTTATGGTTTAATCTTTTGTCAGTGTGGTTGCCATATCTCATACAGTAGCGGCAGCACTCTTGCTCATTTGTCTCATTACAATGGTTGATATAGGTTGCAAATGGCTTAGATCATTTCCCCGGAATTTTCTGGGGATCTAGTGATCTGTAGTTTTAATTCAGCCTGGTATTAAGGATGCAGTGAAGCCACATGGAGGACAAGCCCAGCACTCCCCACCGTCCCTGGAAACTAGCCGGGTGAGCTCCATAATGTATGCAGCACCAGCCTGAAAGGGTGCCTGGCCAAAGGGTGGCCATGTGGGCGTGAGAAGCTGAAGCATCTGGACCAGTTGCCCTATGGGTGCGGCACTGTCTTGATGATGTCGTCATGACGCTGACAGAAGTCTCTGGAAGCTCGAATCCTCCCTGGTCCGCGCTTCTTCTTCTTCTTCTTCCTCCTCCTCTTCCTCTTTTTCGTCTTCTTCGTCCTCTTCCTCTTCTTCGTCTTCATCTTCTTCGTCTTCTTCGTCTTCTTCATCTTCCCTGGTTCGTATTTAAGTTTTTCTGCCTCTTCATTTTCTTCATCTTGTTCTTTTGTTTATGCTATTTATGTTCTTTGTCTTCTTCATCATCAAGAAGAGAGGAAGAAGGAAGGGGATCAGGAACATCAACCTGTGAGTCCAGCCTTGGGGCCAAGATCCCAATGAAAGCCTGGGATCAGAATCATGCAGGTCACTGCGGCCACGAAGCAGCCAACCACCTGGGCTTTGCGGCTTGTTCGAACATCACTGGCTTGGTGCCAAAGCATCCATACAAATTGCTGGAAACCCTACTTTGGAGCATCCATTTTGGAATTCTTCCTGAAATCTGGCTGGTATTCTGTGACCATGTTTGAGGCTTGCCATTTTGCCCCCAAAGTGAGGCCCAACAGAACTGGCCTGGCAAGCCCAATAGCCCAACAAATCGGCGGAGATCAGAAGTCGAGTCCTGGATAAGACCTGGGGAGCTAGGAAGATTTCACAGCGCGCAGCGGTCAATCATGACTTGAAGACACACGTTCTGATTGTCCTAAAGGTATCCAAAAGTTGGATTATGCAACTTCCTCAAACAATCGGAGGGTTGAATGCTGAAATGGACTTCAAGGACCAAAATCTGCACCAAAAAGTGTGAAGTTTAGACTTTAGACCCATGGCCGGAGTTCCAAGGCGGATGCAACAGCTGCTGTCACCGCTGGATTGAAATGGCCTGGCGGAGGGTCGGATTTTCCGTGAAGGTTGGTCTAGCCGTTCCAGTTCTTGCCTCCAGAAAGGTCTCCCAGCGCATAGACCAGGCCCCTAAGTGCCCCAGGTCTTCGGATGAATCGATGGTGACATCCATGGATCAACCCCCGGGCTGTCGGGCATCAGGGCACAGGGCGCCGCCCAAATGTTCTCCCACGAGCTGAGACCTGCAGGGGATTTTCAGCGAATCATCGATAACTCATCCTGTGTAATGTGGGTAAAAATGGTAAAACCAAATGCCAATTTTACCACCCATGACTGGGAATGGTAAATATATATATATATACCACCAAACAAAAAATGGTGATTTTCCTGGGGGATGGTAAACATGGCATTGTTTGACCCAGAGGGAATTTTGGATATCTGGAGATAACCTGTCAATGTTCCCTTTGAACCGCTGGGAGAGAGTTATGGCTTCACCAAATTAGGTTGAAAATTATGAGGTGCTCATGGATCCACTGAGCTCCTAGATTCAGTGAAAAGTGCCAGGTAATTGGAGGTCGTTGACACTCCAAAATGTTGTGTCTTCATGTGGTTTCCATGGTTTTGTCTGGCGTTTCCATGTGTTGCGCAACGTCATCTTCCAGTCATCTTCCAGTTTTCTTGTCCAAAAAAGTGTGACCAGACTCACTCTTGGGCCTCCCAACCTAGGGTCAACATCAGCAAAGTAGTTCCAAGGAATTCCGAGAACAGCCTGACCATGCAACCCGCAAATGGCGGTCCATGGCGGTCCTTATATGAAGGAACGACCATCCAATTTTTGGAAGCCAAAATTCCATATAAAATTCAACTCATGCCTGAGGCCTGAGTTGGCAACCATGATAAGGAGCCAAATCTGTAAAGCACTGGCAAGTGTCTTTTTGTGACCTTACTTCAATTTACAACCAGAAACTGACCTTGGAAGTGGCACCAGCGCCTCACAGCCAAACTGGGCACATAGCTGGCCATTTGATCCGTACTAAGCTTCTCTTCTGGTCCTCAAGTCATTTGAGTTGCAACCTCCAATCCCAGGATGGGTTGATCGGAGTTCATTGGGACTGTGGGGCTCCAAATCATTGATACCCTCTGCGCCAGGTTAACATCCAAATGATTGGTATGTGCTGAACTGGGTGCTCCTAAAAATCGATTGGTTTGGGAAATAATGTCCTTATTATTTGATGGTCGTAAGTCGTAACTCCAAATCGCCATGCCACAGCAGCATGTTCCCAATTTTGCTTGCCGGAAATTCTATGTGAACCATGATTTTTAAGTATGTTTATGCTTCAGAACACCATCTTCCTCTCAAAAATACCAAATTCTGGATCTAGATACTGATTTTTTATGTATCTTTAGTTTTCACGGTGAAATCAGCGTTGAACGCGAAAAAACCACCGGGCTCCCGGCTCAGAAGTCGAAAGAGCGCAGCTGCGGCCACAGCGGCTACCAGCTGGCAGTGGATTTGGTGAGATTTCATGTGGAGAATCCTCGAAATAATGGGAAAATCATGGGAAAAACGTGGGAAATCATGGATTTCATCACTGGAAATTGTGATTGAATGAGGATTCCATGTGGAAAAATCATGGAAGATCAACCAACAACTTGGGGATTTCATGGGAATTGGTAATATATCTTGAAATATAGCTAAGAATATGACCTTTTTTACAGGGATACTTCAATTCGGAATATCGCTGGAATCACAGCACGCCATGAGAAAAACAATCCACTGGTTGCGCCTGCACAATGACGAAGCTTACAAGACTATGAACCTGCAGCAGGATTCGTGGTCCATGCCGGGAAAACACCTGGAACCATGGTGTGGTCCATGCTTGGAAGCTCCGATTCCCATCCCACCTGGAAGCCTATCTGGGTGAGTCCCAATCCAATGGTGATGGCCGGGTTGAAGACCTCAACGGTTGAGAGGATCCCCAGCCATGAAAAACCATCACGACATTCCCTTTGAAAATAGACTTCGAGTATCTCTGGCTTGACCAAATACGGTACCCTCAGGGACCAAGAATCAGGCATGGTCTGCCCAATCCTTCTGAGCTACCTCGTTCTTTTTGGCTATGTCCCTTGCTTGTGCTGGTGATATACTGGAGATGCCCATTGGTTTCGGCCCAAATGGGTTACAGGTGGCATCAAAGATCTGGTGGTCGTGGAAGGAATCTCAGCCCCTCTGAACAATCTCGTCTGTCGGTCAATGCCCCCGCTTTTTCTGTTTACAAGTGATATATACGTACAAATATATCACCTTGAGCATTTCCTGGCAGTACGATCTAGTCTGGTAAACCCAAGAACCATCAATATCCTCCAAATGTTTCAGTGTTTTATTCAAATAATCAGATAGGTAATTCTAGGTATCAATGTGTTGCTAATGTCAACCACGCATGAACAAACCGACTCTTCAATTGGGTACCATTTTAGCAGCCACAAACATCACTTGTTTGAGGCTGGGGTTTTGGTGGTAGTCATCCGAATCATCCGATATGTTTAATCACTGAATATCAACCAACATCATCAAACAGCATCGAAGGTCATCAATGTTAAATCATGTTGCGTAGTATTTCAATACCGTCAAATATCCCAAGATCATCCAAAATCTAGAAGATGTTCATACCATCAAGTATTATCAACATTGAATCACTTTCAACAATACATCCAAAGATCAAAGTTTAAATAGTTACTACATTAATATCATCATTAATACCCGGAATTAGTTACCCTCTGGTGATTTAATGTAGCTATGGAAAATCACCTGTTTTGAGAGGTAAATCATCTATAAATGAACATGTTCCATAGCTATGTTGAATAACCAAAGTGTGTATATATATATATATGTATATCTATATACAATCATCCTGAAGTAGATAGAATCATTTTTTCAACCATAGCTATACACTCAAGGATGATATGTCATCCTGCAGCGTCCAAGGGGCCCCAGTCTTCCGGCCGCGCGTGCAGCTGAGCCCGGCCGCCAAGGTGCTACTGGCAGCGATGCCCTGGGAGCGACTTGGCTGGTCGTGGCTCCAAGATTCCCCAGAAATCTGTTGGCTGAACCAATGGATTAATGGGATTTTCCATAGGAAAATGGTGGTTTAATGGTGGTTTAATGGTGATTAATGGTGATTAATGGTGATTAATGGTGATTAATGGGAAATTAATGGTGATTAATGGGAAATTAATGGGATTTTATAGTGATTCAATGGGATATTAATGGGATTTACCATCTGCTGATGACTAACAGTTCGCCATGGAAAGATCCACCCATTTTTAATAGGTGAACCCAGGTAAACCATCTATAAATGGGTCATCTATACCATGGCTATGTTAAATAACCAGGTGGATCTTTGGATGATAAACTTTTCGGTGTTTTCGCCCTAGCGGGTATGAAACCAGAAGTGGAGGATTGGATGATTGGACACAACGGTCGATGGGATGAGGATGATGTACACTTGAAAAACCCAAATACACCTGGTTTTGGAAGAATGAAATCACATCCATTTCTGGTGATATTTTGGATGATTGCTTTTATTGAGTTTACCACATTGTTGTGGTTGATGTTGTTTTTGGTAAAGGGAAATTTTCCGTATCGATGGATATTTTCTGAATGGATATGTGATGACATGTGATATTCAAGAACAAAATATCCACATTGGATGTTTCTTCGCGTGAAGGAGGCTCTTTTAGATGCAGTGTCCACTAGCCATCACTCGCCACACACTTGAGGCAGCCACGTAGAACTGATTTGGTTCATTCTCGGGATTGTTCCTCTTACCGGAGACCTCGGTTGCTGTGGATATTCCTTGGGAGGTAGCGTATATAAAGACTGCCAAGTTGAGCCCGTTAGAGTGGGGATTTTGGGGGGACCAAGCAAAGGAGGCATTGGTCTTTGCAGATGTGTCTGGCTCAAACTTGGGATCCCACCAGCCACGTCACGTTTTATCACTTCACCACCAAAATTGGCATTAAGAGCCCAAGTCAAAATTTTCGCTGGCACATCATGGCTATCGCGAGATAGACACGCCACCCATCTGCAGTTGGGCAACGCAAAGAATCACGAAATTCAACATCAGGGCATAGATCGTCTCCACCTCAGCATGTGCCTTTTTGCCGCTGAAACCCACAAAATGCAGCACGCAAAGCTGTCAAATGGGTTCAAAACCGACGGTTATTCACAGAACCCAGCAGAACAGGTCTAGAATATCACCAAAATCATCTGAAACGAAACCAGGGGAGGCCTCGGAGCCTGAGTTTCCACACCACTACATCTCTCCCAGCTACATGGATGACCTTAGGGCCGGCCGTCCACGAGCTGCCCAGCCCCGGGTGTTTTTTTCGGTTCTCCATGGCTGCAGCCCACCCAGCATGGCCACCAAGAAACCGATCGCTCGTGTTCCTCAAGGAGCTGTCGAGCAAAGAGCATGGCCATGGTGGTCCCAGCAAGCTGCAGAAGGATGTAAACCTTGGAGATCCAAAAGGACCCGATTCGGACCCAAGGTCGGTTCCCGAGTGACCCCGAGTTCGGGCAACGCATCAGCTCAGATTTTGATAGATTTTGGAGACCTCATCTAGAGATGGGAGCAACAAACCAATAAAAAACCTCCAACTTTTTTGGGGGAGCACATGGGGTGGATTCTAGGGGCAGTTCTCCAAATCTTGGGTGGGGGACACACCAAAAGCAGACTGAGGCAGTCACAAATGCATCCATGAGCTGCATCTTGCCAGCACAAAGCCTTGGCTCAGTCCGGCTTGGTGGCGTATGCAGGGTACCAATTCACCCACAATATTGATCATTCTTAGTATAGTATTCAGCTGGGCATTTCGGGAAGTTTGACCCCAAAGCTTTTGAGGATGTTGAGGTATCGTTCAAAATTGAAGATTTCACTGGTGACTACTGAGACTTAGAGGGTCCAACAATTTGACCCGGGCCAATGCTTGGTTTAATCCCAAGGTGTTCCAGATATAAAAATGTGTCTTTCTCACTATTTCCATGAAAAATATCCATGGATCTATAAATTCCCACCAAAAAGATAGCCTCTGGTAATGACTAACATAGCGAACTGGAAAGATCCACCATGTTTAATGGGAAAATCCACTATTTATGGTTATTTTCAATAAATGGATTTATAAATTCAGTGTGAATGGAAAAATTAATTAATGATCTAAACTATAGATACTATGTGAATTAGATAATGGATTTATAAATAGATTATATAAAATTCCCACCACCATTAATCACCATTAAATCACCATTTTCCTATGGTTTTCCTATGGTTTTCCTATGGTTTCCCTATTTTAGGACACCTCCAAATGTGTTCCCACTATAGATCTCCAGTGTGCTCCCCATGATTTCCACCCAGTGACATGGCCACCGAGACGGCCGGATTGAAATGTCCACCCGACAGGGGCCCGAAGGCTGCCATCATCGCCTTGGCGAAAAGGACTATGCGCTGACCCAAAACCTGGGGGGTGGGTGGTGATTCATGGTGATTACCCTCTGGTAAACTAACATAGCTATTGAAAATGGCCATTTATAGTGGATTTACCCATTAAAAATAGTGATTTTCCATAGCTATGTTAGTTTACCAGAGGGTAATGGTTATTAATGGTGATTATACTTGATTATAAATGATGATTATACTATGGTTATGACTAGCTGATAGTGGTGATTAATGGTTATTGATGGTGATTAATCTTGATTGTAAAATGGTGATGAATGGTTATTAATCTTGATGATATCATGGTGATGAGTTGGGATACCCTCTGGCAATTTGTTGCAGCCTCTGGAAAATGGATGGATGATGATTACCGGGCAAAAATGGGGATTCTCCAAATTAGACTAGCTGAAGATTTTGGGGAAAGCCCTTAAATTTTCACCGGGTCATCATTTTCCGTATGATTTGAGGGCCATATTTTTTGGGGCTTGCCCATCTTCCTATATGACCAACCTGCAAACCAGAAACCTCAAACTTCAACACGACATTTCATGAAAACCAACCCAGAAATCCATCACAAGAATTTCAGAACAACCAATCACCACAAAACTCAACCAAGCAATCACAAAAACTTTCATAACAATCAACCATCATAAAATTTCACAATCATCATCCAGGAATCCAACAAAAATCAGTCAACCAATCATCCCATAAATTTTCAACCAGGGTAACCTTGCCCCATAATTCTTTCCCGACAATTATTCATAAGAAATTGTGATAAGTTCATAAATATGTTTTCTGAGGAGAGCTTGGGGTATGCTTGCCACATCACCAACGTGTATGGGAGCCGGATTTTAGACGGATCAGCTACCAGCATGACCTGTCTAGGCACATCAAGCGCTCCAGCGCTTTCCAAAAACTTGCCCATGTAAGTGGCTCTTTCAAGCTGAAATCAAGGCTTGTGCTTTAACATCCTTTGCTGGAAAGATTTGACTTGCACTGCTGATACATTACAAATAGTTAAGCAACTCGTTGCTGGACTTCACCTCGAAGCAGTCGTCAATCCTAGCCTTGCTTTGGTCTGCAGTGGCGCAGTGGACCATGCGGTACATATCCGTCTCTGTGAGATCCACGTCCCTACCGTCCAAATATGCTGAAGAAAGCCCGCAGCTTCCATCAGCATGCCGATAGACACGATCACCGAGCCGGGCCGTGTTTTGGCCGCACGCTCCCCAGCTTACTGTCCTCAAACAGCTTGGTGCTGACCCACCTTTCTGTAATTCCGGATCTGTCCGGCTGTAGCAAGCCTGGTCAAGGATAGTGGGCATGTCCGGCAGCAGTTTGTGCGGTTGATGATGTGGCACGGGTCCCACTGATTTTTTTCCAAAATCAGCATGGCAGAAAAGGCAGCGATGTCAATATGAGCCGTGAGGATTGTTCGAGCTGCATATGATACAAAACGGCGGACATGACAACTTTCAAGCATCTACCATGTAACAAGATAAGGCACATCACAACCAATTTGGAGATACTTCCTACTTTTTACTTCCTACCGGGGTTTGCCCATGTTGCCTTGACCAACCCTGTTGTTTATTTTCGTTGGTTGTGACACCACGTTTCACCCATCTCCAAATATCACGGGGTGTTACCCAGGACCTGCTGCCACGACACCAGCAACGCGCAGGCGATGGAAGCGATCTCCCAGCCCATGGGCGTCTCCAGCACGTTGCCGGACAAGACATTGCACCCCACCTGCGTTGGGTCGTGAAACGGGTTGCAACGGCCCATTGAATCGCCATGAATCCATGGCGGTTTAGATGTGCCCCGAGTTTATGGCCATTGGATTTCTTGGATTTCCTATGTTGAGACATGTTGAAGTGTAGAACGGACCCTGCAATACTGCAAAGCTACTAGGGTAAAGAGCGACTATCTTACACAAACCATGCTGTTGTCGCAGATCTTTCACCAAACGATGTGCTGAAATCAGTTTCTGAAGACAAGCCGTCTACTTGGATGCGCATTCCGGTTTGTACGTCCACCGACTATGATCATTTCACCTGTTACTAGCAAAGCCAAACATAGTTCTTCACAGACTGGGTGGTTCCAAACCATAACCATCGACAAAACGCAAAGCATGCGCCAATTCTGTTTGGATCCTTTTGGTGTCAAACATTCTGGAATGCCGAAATTGCATGCAATACGGTTTAACCCTCAACATCAGCAGCCGCTTGTGGGTTCATTCAGGTTTGTCTGAAAATATTGTGCCTTGAATCTCGATGCTTTAATCTGCCATCAATTGATGGAATCCCACATTTTCCGACTGTCCCCTTTAGATGTGCCTGAAAATGGGCCGTATACCCCAAAAAATTACCAGTTCAAGAAGAAAATGGTCATTAACCATCAAATTTGGGGGTTGTCCCACTTCTGAGCCCCATTTTTCGTTTCATTCCTGGAACCCCAAACAAGCCAAACAAGCCAAACAACCAAACGGTTGTTTCCCATGGTGAAGAAAAATGCTACACACCAAATGGTTGAAACATGTTGAAACTAGTTGAAACTGAGGTCAACCACCATATCTATGTCTGCTTCTTTAGGTTTCCAGCGTCATCCCTTTTAACCTCTCCATTTCAGCCCGCACCGTGAAGGCAAAGACAAAGCTCCCCAGAAGCTCCGCTGCGGCCGACGCCGGCCGCATCGGCGCCTGTGCTGGGAAGATGGCTGACCAACAACAAATGATTTAGGGCCCATTTACAGATTATTTACATACTAACAATGGTGTTCCATAGCTATGTTACATCTTTGGGGCTCCAACCATCTTCAAATGTCGTAACATGTTGATGTTGTTTTGAAAAAAAAACAGAACAAATGCTAGAAGGATGGTTCTGGGGGGTATATGACGTTGTTCTGCTGGTTGTTATTGTTGTATGATAATGTCTGCCATCATTGGTTTTGAGATTTTTGATGTGGTGGTTTGGGGAAAAAAATATGTTGCGAGTTTAATGTATTGATGTTGTGATTGCTGTAGATAAGGGGGCCATTGGTTGTTGCTGTTGTGCTCTATGTGAGGGTTTGAGGTGGAAGTATTTGATGTGTTTATTAAGCTGTTATTAATTATGAGGTAATGATGTTCATGCTCTCCAGTTTCCTATTTCATCCCATAAGTCTGCAAAATAATTCTGATGTTTGATAAGCAAGGGTGTTTTCTTACATCGTTAAGCTCATCCGTTGCTATAGCTAATAGTGTCAGATTTAGTCTGTGGTATTGTCTGTGTTAAATGAGTTTTTGTTCACGTTCTGAGGGAAAGTCTTTGTCAAGTATGTTGTCATACGTCGCTTGGACGAAGTCAGACACATACCAACATATCTTATCAATCATCCATCCACTTTCTGCGCTCCTTTCTCAAATCTGTACCCGGAATTTACCCTCTGGTAAACTAACATAGCTATGGAAAATCACCATTTTTAATGGGAAAATCCACTATAAATGGCCATTTTCAATAGCTATGTTAATTTACCAGAGGGTATGTCTTGTCAATCAATGAAATGCTGAGGATTGCTTTCTTCCCGAACTGTCGTATCTCTTCATTTTGTTCAAGCTGCTTTTCTCTCCCAGTGTTCATCCCCAAGTGACGTCGTGACGTCACCAGCACCTGTTAAAGAGTTACAATCTGGGGCCCCCCAGTGATGTTAGTTGGTTTATAAAGCCCATTAACTATAGTTATAAGTACCATAAACCATAGTTATTGGAGTTATAAACCAACTTAGCTATCTTGGGTGCCCCACATTGTAGAGAGCAAATAAACGGCTTTTTGGCACCTGGCACTTGATATCGCAAAAGCTTCATCTCCTTGGTGGATGCCCAAAAAATCGATGCCCAAAAATTCCCAGAAGACATCCGCTAGGTCCCAGCCTGCTCCTCGGCTAGTACATGGAAGTTCGTTTGACTGATGCTGAAATAGCCAATGGCAAATGCGAAAAACGGATCGAAAAGCATCTCCGGTGACCAAATGAGCCGCCAGTGGGGCATGAAAAGAATTCCTGGAAGTTCATCGGCATCATCACCCATTAGGGTATATAAAATGGGAATTTATGGGAAAATTATGATAAAAGCTTTAGGTTCGTCTGAAAATGATGTGAAAGTCCCATCATCCTCAAACGGCTGAACCAACGCAGCCGTTCGTCTTTTCACGCCCAGCGTAGTTGCTGTCGCCAATTCGCTAACGTTCCACGCCACAGCTCCCTATGGGAGTTTCGTGAAACAGCAGACCCTTTGGGTACATCAAAACAGGCTTCCTCATATTTTCACAAGTCATACAAGTCACCAAAAAAGTGATTTAAAAGAATAAGGGAGGAGGAAATAGAAGGTGGGATAAATCACTATTCATATAATATCCATGACTGGTTCACAAAAAAATATCACCATGTCATTTCCAGACCTATCTATGGAACCCACTCTTTGGGGCCTATGCGACGCAGGTTTCACGTCGCTTTCTGGGCTTCTTGAGCCAACTGCGTCATCGACGCCTGAGCGAAACCAACACTCTTTAGCATCTGAAAGCATCTGGGGGGTGATAATCATTGAAGGATCCTATAATTCTCTATAGCTATAGGTGTTTCTGGAGGGTGATAATGATGGGAGGATCCTATAATTATCTATAGGCTATAAGATGCTATAAGTGTTTGGAGGAAATCACTGGTGTTTGGGGGCTAATTTTTCAATTTCTCCAATCAAACCATGGGTGTTTGGAGGAAATCATCTTGCGAAATCCATTCTCAGCCTGGACCGTCCCAGTAAATCAGACTGTGTTCAGTCCTTGAGATCCTCTCCAATCTAATACCCCAGGAACTTCGAGTGGGTTTGTTTGAAAATAGGGAACCTTCAAAATCCCATGCTTTTTAAAACTCGATTTTTCACTCTGAAATGGCCATAGCTGGGGGCTATCCCCCCGTATTTCGACACACCCTTCGCTGAAGCCCAGCGGCGGCGCGCTTTTGGATTCCTGGGGTCAAGCGTCCAGCCCAGGATCGGCGGGATGGTAATGGACTTGTGACCCATAGCTCAGCAGCCAAAGCATTCCCAAGGTCTCCCAAACTTCCAAATCAGGCCACACTGACGCTGAAGCCAAGCTGCTAACAGCCAAGCCGTACTTGGGCATCAGGTATCCACTTCTCCTAAAACCTGGCCGTGGGAGATGTTGCTCGAGACTCGGTGTTTGGGGGTCTCTCCTCACATTTTGGCACTTTGAGTTTTGCCGGAAATTGATGGAAATTGATGGAAATAGGGACCCCCAAAATGTGAACGGTGATCATCATTCCTATCAAACTCGCCATTGTGGTTCATCCCCCATTTTTGGACAAGTCATTCATCCTTAGGATCCCAGATGCGTCGAAAAGTATGCTAGGATGCCGGGCTTTTCGCCACCTCTTTCACAAGTTCGGTGGACGCACCCTTGGGATCTGTGAGCTCTTTACCCTGGCGTTGCGAGTTGGTTCTGATGATCTGATGCAGTAGTTGTTTCTGGCGAGGGCCTGCATTCAGCCTAGATACAGTAGACAGATAGGTAGGTAGATACATAAGATAAGATAGATAAGTTACAAGCTGGATAAGAAAAGATGGATCAGATAAGACAAGATAAGATAAAGATAGGATAAGATAGGATAGATAGGACAGACAAGATAGATAGGATAGATTACATAGACGGCATAGATAGGATAGATTGCATAGATGGGATAGGTGGGATAGATAGGATAGATTGCATAGATAGGATAGATAGGACGGGAAAGGACAGGATAGGACAGGATAGGATAGATCACAAAAGCAGGGCTGCCTTCCTAGATCCCTTATGAGCTTCGACTGAGCCCTCCACCCTTGACTCAATGTTGTTGGCTTGAATCTGATCTTGAGGACGCACCTGTCCCCAGCTGCAGTGCCAAATCAAGTTTCCTCCCAAAAAGAAATGGACATTTCCATGCGTTACTTTCTGTTGCGCTATCCCCCGACAAAAGAAAATGCCCCCAATACTGACATGGATCCAATACATTTCACTGAGGTCTTGTTTGGAGTGCATGAAAAATATCATGGAACTGATTGGAACTGACTGGTTAAAGGAACTTCCTGTTGTTGTTGTTGTTGTTGCTGCTGCTGCTGTTGCTGTTGCTGTTGCTGTTGTTGATGGTGATGATTGACTGATTCACTGATTCACTGATTCACTGATTGACTGATTGCTATTTCCGAACTGATTGGCTGGTTGAGGAAATTCATCAGAAATTGAGCTCAGCACCAACGCGCGGATCTTCAACTTGCCTTGAACAGACCTTGGCCGAGTTTGGAGCCGGCGTCTTCAGCTTCGATCACCGAATTTCCAAAGGTTCTGGGAGAAGGGGCGAAATCATAAGCCGCAGATGTAGCAACTGGTTCAACGAATCATAAAATCATATATAATATGTGAAAATCGATGCCATCCCATGATGGGCCGCTGGCTCCAGCATCTCGATCTGGAGCAGTTCGTCCATGTCTGGATCCTCTGGACCCATGGGGGGTCATGGTACTCTTCGAAATTGAGGATTTGAGCCGATGCCCCCAACCAATGGGATTTCTCACTCAAAGATTCTGGTGGTGAAGCCCCCAATCTCAACCAAGCTCCATGTCAGACCAACATCTGCCCACCATCCTCCAAGGGCTCACCGCTCTTCTCTGCCTTCCGCTTAAAAGGAATCATCCCGGGGACACGGTTTGTGTGAAAATCGTCCCCATGAAACAAATGAAAATTCCAACCCATCACTATTTTTGTAGAATCTTGTTTTGCTATCTTTGGGGTTGGTATAAGAAGCTTATGAGATGGCAATTGAGACAAAGTCGGTGAACATGACATGATGATACATGGCAGGCACCCCATGGCACCCCCTCCAGGATGTGGCAACTCCATGTAACTCCCTCGTAGGTGTTTGCGAAGGATTTCAGTCATCCATAGCACCAAATCCACCATGAAATAGTAGTATAATCCAACCATGTTTACCATGAATGGTAGTTTCTGATTATGTATGTAGTATGATTGTATATGTATAATTACATTCCAACCATCCTTTTTTTGGGCGGATTTGATCATTGATCATTCACCCTCGCACACCTGCTCGATGATCTCGCGTCGACGCTGAGCTGCCTGTGGCTGCATCTTGCTTCGTTATGGTTGGTTGATCCCCTGGTTGGGTTGATTCTGGGATAGATGGTGCATCTCCCATCTCCCAAAAAACACCTTCTCTATCTGTATGGCTCACCTCGATGGCCCACTTGCTATCAGGTGGAGCCGGGGCTGGCAGGTTGCGCATCAGCACCTGAGCCGGAGTGATTTTGATGGATCTTAAATGATGATTAGTATATGACTAGAAGTAGTAGAAGTAGTAGTAGTAGTAGTAGTAGTACTAGTAGTAGTAGTACTAGTAGTAGTAGTACTAGTAGTAGTAGTAGTACTAGTAGTAGTAGTACTAGTAGTAGTAGTACTAGTAGTAGTACTAGTAGTAGTACTAGTAGTAGTCCTAGTAGTAGTACTAGTAGTAGTACTAGTAGTACTAGTAATACTAGTAATACTAGTAGTACTAGTAGTACTAGTAGTACTAGTAGTACTAGTAGTACTAGTAGTACTAGTAGTACTAGTAGTGCTAGTAGTACTAGTAGTACTAGTAGTACTAATAGTACTAGCAGTATTAGTAGTACTAGTAGTACTAGTAGTACTAGTAGTACTAGTAGTACTAGTAGTACTGGTAGTGTACTAGTACTACTAGTAGTACTAGAAGTACTAGTAGTACTGGTAGTACTGGTAGTACTGGTAGTACTAGTAGTACTAGTAGTACTAGTAGTACTAGTAGCAGTAGCAGTAGCAGCAGCAGCAGCAGTAGTAGTAGTAGTAGTAGCATCCGGTTATTTAACATAATTATGGAAAATCACCATGTTTATATATCCATGTTTAATAGGTAAATCATGATAAATCATCATCCACAGCTATGTTAAATAGCCAGAGGGTGTGTGATTAGTATATAATGCTGGATCCCAACAGATTTTAATTTGAAAATTAGATATGATGGTCTCCAAAATGATCCAAAATTTCTCTCTAGACTCTAGTCGTATGAACCAATCATCAAAGATAGGGATAGACTGGGAAATACAAAGACCAAACAACTTTGCAAAGATACTAACCAGAATTAGTATATCATTAGTGTGTGATCAGTAGTTTTTCGACCTTCCAAAGACCCCCAGATCTTTCAGGGCACATCAGTGATCGGCCCTCGCCAGAGTCGATCGAAGTCCTCCTGCGGAATGGATTTTTTTTAACCATGGAATTTTATGGAAAATCTTTAGGAAACCTGCGGCAAACCATGGTTTTTCCAATGAAATATGGAGGGTCCTGTAATTTCCCACTTTTTCGACATCAAATACAAGGTTCTCCGGGCGGATTTTCTTGCTAATCCAATGACACAGTGGCTCAGACTCAGTACTCAGCATCAAGTTTCCCAACTTTCCTCAGGATCTGTCGAAACGTCTGTTCCCCTTCTCAACAACATTGGGAAGAGTCATGCTGATCCATTGACCCATTTTGCAATGGGTGGGACGGACTCCGGGGCCTCATCGTGAGAACCAAAGCCAATGGCACGCAGCCACTGGGCCTCACCGAAAACATCCTGACACGGCGGTTCTTGATCGGACGCAAGGGCTTGGATCACATTGATTTGGGGACGGGCAAATGTGCGGTTGGAGCCATGCTTTTCCCATTAAAAATGGTGGCTTAGTAGGATCTAGGATGTGGGATGTTAATTGGGGATTACCCCAACATATTCGGCTTTGTTACTTGTTGCCTCACTAAAACACAGGAAATTTCCTCACTTGCAGACTCGAAGGATCACTTCGACCGGCTTCGGCCAGCCAGGTGGTCCCAAATGTATGCTGGTTTGGGGAAATAGTGGGGTCTAGACCTTAAGGTTTGTCCAAGAATAGGGTCTGTAAAATCCCCTGCTTAATCGGCAGGCCCCCCATTGAAAGAGCCATAAATTAAAGGGTATCCACCATTTTCTGACACACCCGAATCGTCAATTGAATCAATTGTTAGTTGCTGTATATGATCTCCCGTTGTCTCCCCATATTGTTCGTGATATTATGTTCTATATATTCTTCATCATGGTGGGTTAAACAAGATTAAACCCACCATTTTCAGACACACCCATTTAGAGTGATAAGCCTGAGCACCTCCTCATCAAAATTCAGTTGTTCTTCCTCCTCTTCCTCAACCGGCTGTCCTG